GGAGTGACCGGGGAGAAGTGCCAGCGGCGAGGACCTGGGGGTCACGTGACTGGAAAGTGCTTCCGTTCCGGGATTCTGTAAGCCACACTCCAACAAAAGGCTCGTAAGGAGCGCCAGAGGCCCAAGCGCGACCTCGATGCCATGTATGATGATCGAGATTTGGACGATAGCGCTGGGCACTTTTCGAAGCGAAGGCAGAGCGTCGACTCTGCAATTGCGGCTCGCTCCGATGAGCTGCAGCCCCGTCTTGCTTTCTTGACTTTGATACCGGGTCTGGGAGCTTTGAAGGTCATCAAGAATATGAGGCACCACAGGCGCGACCTCGAACATGAGTACGGAGTAGAGGCTCTGGTTGGCAGGGGCGGTCCTTGAGCTAGGGGGTAGAGGAGGAGTTCACGCTGCTACCTTCTCGGCTGCCACCGTTTGTAAGCTCATTGGCACCATCCATAATCTGAACTGCTTGATCTCACGGTGTGTGGACGTTGTGGAAGCCTGAGCGCTGGTTTGACAACGACTGCCCTCACGCTCGTTGCTCAGCTGCTGTTCGCTAGTGAATCGTAGCTAGCCATGGCAAGGGCAAAGTTTCGCAGGGACTCGCAAGCCGCTCGTGTTGAGTCTGCGATTGAGGTTGCTCCCGGCTCTCATGTTGATTCTGCAAAGTGATCTGAAATCCTTACCGGGAGCACATTGCCGAGAAGCAGACTGAACGAACAACCGGCCTTTGCTTTCAAGCCATCTGTCAAGAGTTTCAGTCTGGCCAAACGAACGCCCTCTGACTAGCGTGGCAGCAATCCAACCTTTTACATACCAGTAGCTGAGGCAGAGCTCGACTTGTCCACCCAATATAGGGTACATAGCGATCAGATTGCCAGGTGGCTGTTTGTGCACCGCGGTGTTTTCGAAGAGCAACTGAGCCCATGTCATGTTGCGGGCAGCAAATGAAGCGGCAACTCGCATGCGTGAGTGGCGACTGGAAGGTGGGGCCATATAAAAGACACAGCGCCTCTAGAGCACTGACCTCTGGCTACTCCTCCGCAGCGCCCGCAAGCACCAGATATACCCTCGCCTAATCGAGAGAGACGTTGATCGGCTCTCAGTGGTATCTCCCATTCCGATTCGCTAGACGAGTTCATAACATTCCCGGTGAACACAACAATATCTTACTCCCTTCGACAACTGCTATTCACACTCGCAAACCCTACACCAGTAACAGCATGAAGACCGCCTCCACCCCAGTCACTCTCACTGTTCTCCTGCTCGCCTCCGCCAGCAGCCTTGCGGCGCCCATAGGTCAAGTCCAGCAGGGCAACCAGCCTGCCGTCCAGCTCAGGCAGCTACGAGGTACCGACGGAGGCGCTGTTGTCTTTGGCAGGTCCCAAGATGATCAGCCCCCGCCCGGCCTCCCCGCATACGCTGGCAGCCTTCTCTTTGGCGGTGTCGACAGGAATCCCCGCGGCAACACGGCAACACCAGACGGGCTTACGCTGACCAACGTAAGCGAAGGGGCATTGGGCGAGAAGAAGTCAGGCGAGGGCAGTCCCAGTGAAGTGTCCAGTCCCAAGGGAGGGGTCGCTGGCGACCAAAGCCTGAAGAAGCAAGGCACTACCACCAAAGGTCTCGACAACGAGACAGCACCTCAGAAACAGGAGGCAAAGGAGGAGGAGGATGGCAAGGAACAGCAAGAAGGAGGCCAGGAGAAAGACACGAAGACGAGTGTAGAGCAAGTTGAGAAGGAAAGTACAGGGGAGAAAGATACCAAGAAGCAAGGCTCCCAGGCGCAGCAGGAGAGTATCCAAAAAGAAGGCTCCGAGCAGGAGAACAGCAAGGAGGAAGGCACTGAACAGCGTCAGACAGACAAGCAAGGCTCTGAAGTAAGAGATGCCAACTCGAAGAACACTGAGCAGGAGAAGACTACCAAGGGAGAGACCGAAAAAGAAGGGGACAAGAAGGAGGACAGTGACGAAGAGAAGAACAAAGAAGAGGGAAGCAAGACAGAAGGCTCCAAAGGAAAAGCAACGGAAAAAGATGACGATGATGACAGCAAGAAGGAAAAGAAAAAGCAAGCCGACGATGATGATGATGGAAACACCAAAGAGGCAGAGACAGAGGAAGCATCAGAGAAGAAGACGTCCAGCAAGGAAGGCACCAAGGCTGAAGACGCCAACACTGCGGAGGACAGCAGCAAGAAGGAGTCAGAGAAGGCAGAGAAGGCCTCCAAGGCGACAGCGGTCGAGGACCAATCCGACAAGAAGGACGGCGGTCAGGAGAGCCCAAGCGCCAAGCCCGAGCTCCTCAAGAAGCGCTCCGTGCCACTCCGTCTTCGCAGCTACGACTACCAGCACGGCACCGGTCGTCGTAGCGACCCTGGAGAAGTTGGCGCACTGCTTCCACCCGGCAGGGGAGAGAGCGGAGGTCTGGGAGGGCCGGCAAGCTCGCTCACCGCTCGAGGGGGCCAAGACATGGGCGAGATCAGGGGCGCGGTCGGTAGGGCCGTACGAGGTCTGCATCCTCACCCTTGAAAGTGAATTTGTAACAAGACGCACGGCCATATGGAAATAAATGTATGCTGATATGTGGTGATATTGAAGTCATCGCCAAGCCGCAATAATAGTGTCGATGAAGTCTAGTGTTACATTGGTGATCAGGTAGGGACATGACGAGGCAGTCTACATACAGCCACACTCGTCCGCAATTGCACTGCTCACTCTCTCATTCCCTATACCCCTGCCTGGTCTGAGCGTCTTCTGCCATCCTCCTCTCTTAGTCATCTCCGAGGAAGAAGTACGTGCCTGCCGACTTCTGCTCCTTGTCCTTGAGAGAGGCGTACTTGTTGAATCTCGGTCGGAAGTTGGTAGGGTCACGCCTCATGGTCACGTCCAGACCGCTGAGGAAGGAGTTCATACCAGTCAACAAGCTCTGAGGTGCAGTGGCCGTCGCCTTGACTGACGGTGTACCAGAGTAGCAGATGACTCTATCAGCCAGGTAAGTGGCCATGATCAAGTCGTGCTCGACGACGAAGCAGGTCTTCCTCGAGTGGAGGATGAACCTCTTGATCAGCCTCGAGGCAATGATACGCTGTTCCGAATCGAGATAGGCCGAAGGCTCGTCGATCAGGTACACATCTGCGGGCTTGCCCAATGCCAGAACCAAGGCAACTCTCTGCAGCTCTCCTCCAGACAGTGTCTGAACGCTCTGGTCGATGATGGCATCGAGTTGCATCGGCTTGACCACATCAGTCTGGAATTGAGGATGCAGGAAAGCTCCCTTGATTTGCTTGATGAACAGCTCCCTGACCGATCCGGTGAACTTGGGAGCAATCATCTGCGGCTTCAGGGAGACGTTGAGCTCGGGCGGTGCTTCCGAACTCGAGTCCGGTGAGAGCTTGCCAGCCAACATCTTGACGAAAGTCGTCTTTCCAGTACCATTCTCTCCGAGGAAGACGATGATCTCCGAGTCTCGGAAGTCTCCGGCCTCAATGTCGAGCGAGAAGTTTCCGAGCGTCTTCTTCATCGCGGGGTACTTGACGCTGTTCGAGCGCTCCACAATCTCATCATCGGCAGTCTCTGCGATCTTGAAGGTAAGCGATTCTTGACGGAAACGCATGTTCTCGGCCGGGATGAAGCCGTCCAGGAAGATGTTGATACCTTCACGCACAGGCGAAGGTACCGTGACGACACCGTACACCGAGGGGACACCGTACAGCAGGCAGACGAAGTCGGAGAGGTAGTCAAGCACACTCAAGTCGTGCTCGACAGTGATGACATACGTCTGATCATCGAGCATCGACCGAATGATGTGAGCTGCCTTCAGCCTCTGCTTGACGTCAAGGTACGATGAAGGTTCATCGAACATGTACCTGTGACACCAAGAACGATTATCAGAGGTGAGAGGTGCTTCCTGTATGCGTATATCCCTCTTTGGGTACTCACATGTTGGCCTTCTGCACACAAGACATTCCAATTGCGAACCTCTGCAGCTCTCCACCCGAGAGCTGCTTAACGTCTCTCTCCAACACCACTCCCAAATCCAGCAGGTCCACCACACTGTCCTTGTTGTCCCTCTCAAGCTTTCCGTCCAGCATCTTGGACACGGTGATAGGCTGCTTGACTGCTCTGGGGATGTGGTCTACGTATTGCGGCTTGATCAAAGCCTTAATGTTGTCTTCCAGGACCTTGGTGAAGAAGTTCTGCAGCTCGGATCCACGGAAGTACTTGAGAATAACCTGCCAGTCAGGCGGCTCATCGTACTTGCCCAAGTTGGGCTTTTGCTTTCCTGCTAGAATCTTCAATGCTGTAGACTTTCCGATACCATTTGTTCCCACCAGACCTAACACCTGTCCGGCTCGGGGAATTGGCAGCCTATGCAGCTTGAATGAGTTGGCAGAGTATCGGTGAGTGGTCTCAGACTCTAGATTTGTGGGGAGCTTGATGATATTGATGGCTTCGAAAGGACACTTCTTGGGGCAGATACCACATCCAATACACAGGGTCTCCGAGATGAAGGCGATCTTGGAAGTTGGCGTCACCTCAATACAAAGCCTTCCCATCCTCACTACGGGACAGCTCTTTTTGCATTCTTGCCGACACTTCTTGGGCTTACACTTGTCCTGGTTGACTGTGAGCGATGATCGCGAGAGTTGAGAGGATACGGTGTCAGATGCCCTACGCTCCAATCTGCTATGCTCAGTGCTCTACACCCCTTTGTCCAAGCTGCGAACACTCACTAATGGCAATTCGCGTCTCCTTCTGCTCCTCCCCACCTGCCTTGGCTTTCGGCGGCATTTCTCAACAAGGGACCCTACAGCGGCAGTGATGTGGACTAGGGACGCTACGGGCGCAGGAGGATGAAGTCTACAGCGGGCGCTACCAGGGTCGTGTATGCGGGGTGAGAAGGAGGTGAAGGACTTTTCAATCAAAAATCGGGGTCAAGCAAAAGCGCCGCGCTTCGGTGCCGAGAAACACGGATTTGATTTCCAATCGCGGGGAGAGGGAGCGAGGATGTCGCAGGTCGCCGCCGTACGCTGCACACGCTTCCGCGCCTCGGTATTATGGCACAACGGCCACGATTCACATCCTGTCCAGTGACTCGCATGTGACGGGTGAGAAGTCAGTATCCAACAGTGTTCCTCAATCAAGTGCTCATTGCACAGTGCGGGAGCAGCGTGGCGATGTGAGGCTTCGCAGCATTCACTTGCTCCAGGCGGGTCCAGGCTGGCGCCTTCGGTCCATGACTGCCTCAGCCATTTACAATCCGTTGCACTGTTAGCCTTGCCAGGGATGCTGTCCCTTCTCATTAACGTTCATGGAATCTGTTTTTAGCGCTATCGCCGCTGTCCTCTCTGGCCTGGCGTGTCGTGTGAGCGAGCGTTGGCGTGCAGTGCCCTGTGCTGACCCCTCCGTCATTTCAGCCACACCTCCACAAGGCTCACAGATCTTCGAGCTGGACCCTGTCTCCACACCAAGCCCCTCTTGGCCAGGCCTTTCTTTCCCCTTTGAGCCCTCTCACAGTGAATCCTGATCCATCGATACTAGATACCCTTACTATCATCATCATCGACTAGGCTCACAATATGGCTGCCGCACCAACACGTCGTTCGATCCTCGCAGAGGTGAAGCAAATCATCCCTCCTCTTTCAGAGAAGATGCACAAGGGTCAAGCCGGGCGGGTAGGCATCGTAGGAGGTTCACGAGACTACACTGGTGCACCCTACTTTGCCTCGATGTCCTCGATGAGGCTCGGTGCAGACATGTCACACACCATCTGTGAACCCTCGGCGGGAAATGTCATCAAGACTTACTCTCCCGACCTGATTGTGCACAGGGTGCTGGATGAGAACAAGTCAAATGCGGACATCAAGAAGGACCTGGAAGGCATCTTCGCCCGTTTGCACTCTCTCGTTCTGGGTCCTGGACTAGGACGAGATGAACATATGCAAAGCTGCGCTAGGACCGCACTGGCCCTTGCTAGGGAGAAGGACATCTGGACCGTAGTTGACGCAGATGGACTTTGGCTCGTGGCCAATGAGCCCGAAGTCGTCATTGGTTGGGACAAGGTGGTGCTCACTCCCAATGTCGTCGAATTTGGAAGACTGTGTCAAAAGATGAACATTGATATGAAGAAGGGTGGAGGCTCGGATGCTGCAAAGGAGTTGAGCGCCGCATTGAAGGGGCCGATCATCCTGGAGAAGGGATCGGTGGACCGGATCTCTAATGGAATGTGAGTCACAGCTACGCAGTAGGAAGCGGATCACTTTGGATGATCAATTGTTGACTGACACTCACTCTTGGTATACCCACAGCGAGGTGCTCATCTCTGACGAGCCCGGAGGACTGAAGCGATCAGGCGGACAGGGTGACATTCTCTCCGGCACACTGTGCACCTTCCTCGCCTGGGCCAAGATCTTCAGAGACGGAGAAGCCGTGCACGCCGGAGCGCCCAAGCCAGACACCATCGACGAGAAGAGGCTACTGCTGCTAGCTGCTTATGGCGCTTCTTGCCTCACACGTACTTGCTCTAGAGAGGTGTTCAAGGTGAAGAAGAGGGCACTGCTGGCTGATGATCTGCTGGATGAGGTTGGACCTGCGTACGAGAAGCTGTTTGGGGAAGGCAGCTCGCTGTGAGACGACGATGTACCTGGTCGCGATCTTCTGGATGCAATTCTCATTCGCCAGTGGTATAAGAGAAAACTGCACACAGGATTGAGTAAAGGCGACAGGCACTTCTCGCGATGAGGGCGGTATTTCGCATGCGAATGCGCTACTCGCAGCCTCACATAGCAGTCGCGTAACGACCACGACCGCTGATCACGTATACATCATCTCCAACGTAATGATGGCCAGACGGCTGCTGCTGGTGAGGATGAGCAAAGCGATCAACGCGACCCAGAGGTCCTGACTCATTACCATCGACCACCTCCTCGGTGTTTTGCCCTTCCTGCTCATATGTCTGCGAGACGGGTCGGAAGACAGTAGTGGGCGCAGCAGGCTGCTCGACGTCTACAGTGGCGTACTTGAAGTCCTCGGCGGGAATCTGCTCGATGCTTCCGATGATGGAGCCAAAAGCGTCTATTGGGGAGACGGGGAGGGGAAAGGGGAGTCAGAAGACGTACACTTTGGAAAGAATATGCAGCTACTCACCTCTGATGACCTGCTTAGTGCCGTGACTATCGTCATCGTCCTGGTCCGGCACGACAGTATAGTACTGCAGCCATCGCAGCGACTTGAAGAAGCCAGTAGCGACGAGGACAGCGCTGTAAGGTGCCGCATAGTAGATCCAGGCAAAGCCATCGAAGTGCCTGGCAATGACGTCGGGTCCCAGAGAGCGAGCTGGATTGAGGGAGCCTCCCGTGTAGCCTGTTGCAGCGAGCTCGCCTAGGAAGAGCGCCAGGCCGATACCGATAGGGGCAAGGTAGGTGGCCTTGTGCTTCTCTCCTGCCAGCATATAGACGGTGAATACGAGCATGAAGGTGGAGAAGAATTCAATCCAGAAACCCTGGTTGACAGTCGTGCCACCACTCAGCGTCGTTCTCATGTTCGGCTCTCCAGGGAAGAGGGCATTCTGCATAGCGGCGGCTGTTATCCCTCCTAGGAATTGAGAGATTGTGAGGACGATGCCTGAGATCCAGGAGAGGTTGCCCAGCAAAGTCAGACCTAGAGTCAGCGCAGGATTGAAGAGGGAGCCAGTGACTCTGAAGAAGACCCCTGAGGAGTGAGGAGCGTGGCCGAGGGAGCGAAAGGTCAGAGCCATCTCCATTACCACATGTTGCGTCAGATCGACTTACAGGCAAACACGGCCAAGGAGAAGCCAAAGCCCAGGGATGAGAATTGCAGGGCGCTCGTATCAGGCGGACCACTGGGGTGTGCTTTCTTCACGGCCCCGATCCGATCGCTAGCTTGTGTCGCAATGGCAAAAGCAAAGAAGAGGAAGAGGGTCGTCCCCACGTATTCGCACAGGAAGAGAATGACCTCATTCTTGAGTCTCAGTCGCTGCTGCAAGACACCCCGATAGTGGGAGCGGTCGTGCTTATCCTTGTCCTTGGGAATGCAAAAGTTAGGCAGTCCACCTTCGAGGATCACAGTTTGACGCTTCTCGTTGGGAGGTGGAAGGTCGTTGCAAGTGCACTCGCCGCCTGCGACAGAAAAGGATCGAGAGCGAGAGGGCTCGACGGCGTGTATGCCTTTGAGTATGGGATTACCGCCCAAGGTAGAAGTAATCGTAGACATGGTCGACGAAAAGGCTGACCAAAGTGAGTGGGACAGGGTGACGCAAAAGCGATCGAAGTCGGCAGTGAGTGTCTCTAGCTCTAGGCTGTTACTTGTAGATCCAGCCATCTCGTCATCTAGCAGCTCGAGGCTGTGGGGCACCGGCATCTGGGGTCAGTACGGCTGCTAAGTGGTGGGATGGTAGAGCATGAGGAGCTGAATTTTCTGTCCTGGCCTCGCGACTATGAGGCCGCCCCTTGGCATAGGGGCTGACGTCGCAACCATAGAGGCCGGAGGGGGGAGGGGGGGAGGGACAAGGGTGCACCCAAGCCAAGCGAAGCGAAGCGCCGATGCAGGGGACAAGTATCGCTTCAGCCGCGGCTCCAGGACAGAGGAACATTGCAGTTGCACAAGGCGCACCTTGTTTACCGCCGGCCTGGGAACGTCGGAGTTCACGACGGACTTCGCGTCGTGCGGGGGATCTGACCGCGACGGAAGATTAAAGAGGCGCGCATGGGTACAAAGGACTCTGCAACTCCAAGACAGGCTCACAGCGCCTCCTGCGAGGACAAGGTAGATCGTGACAGACCACTTTGACGCTCGATTCTGGCGCATGGGATGGCACAGTGTAAGAGTCATTCTTCGCCGCCTGACGTAAGCGACACCATTTTTGGGTAAGCCCGACCTGGGAGGGCAAATTTCTAGTAAAGAAGTTGAGTTTCAGAGCACGCACAGGGGCCCGTCTTGGGTCTTAGCACCCGTTGCTCTTCGAACGCTGCACGAAGACATCTGCAGACCATTGACACACGTGCTAGAATCCTCCCACCCTCCTCTTCTGTCTCTTCGCCGGCGCACTTCGCCTGCTAGCATGTGGTCCAGCTAATGGCTGGGTAGCCGCTTCGCCTACCGAATGCTGGGACTGCGTCTCCATCGGGTGAACTCTGCCGCGATCGCGATCGGCAGTGTGCTGGACGGACATTTGAGAAAAGTGACCTCTGGAGCCTCTTGAGCCACCACCGAGCCCAGCATGTTGTGACGATGCGCCTTGCCGCGCGCCTGATTGCGAAAAGGCTGTCGCTCCGGAAGAAACTGCAGGCGCGATGCTGGGTGGAGCCAATCGTCTCGTCCACCGAGCTTGTGCTGGTTGGGGAGTCTCAGCCTCTCGACTGCCAACATGACCTCCTTGGGAAGACGGTGCAGCGCTAGCGCTCCACACGCTACGACTTCTCGATCTTCCGCCTTCAGAAGCACTCGTCTCTCCGCCACTGAGGCCACTGTTCGCACCGCTCCAGGCCGAGCTCCAGCCACTCTCCCCATCTGAGGCTGCACTAGGCGCGCTTGACGCATAGCCCTCTCCTGAGGCTCTGGCTTCATCTAGCAGACTGTAGGGATCTGTATAGGTGTAGTACGACGGATCGGTCTCAGTAGAGGTAGGATCGAGTGAGGTGAGCGGCCAGGAGGAGAGCAACAGACGAGCAGCTGCAGTCGTGGCTCGCTCAGCAGAAGGACCAGACTCGGACCTCCCGGCATTCTCTCGTCGAGGCTTGAAGTAGGCGAACCGTACATCATCCGGCTGGGGAACTCTGCTCTTGGCAAGCATATTCAGCTCTTCATCGTCCGATTGCGGTTCGTGAGGATCGTAGTCGTGTAACAGCGGATCTATCGCCTGCTGCATACCCAAAGAATCGGGTTGGCTTGCAGCGCTGACGGAGTCCTGCCTTCGCTGAATTGAGGTGGAAGTACCTGTAGCTCCGAGGTCATCGATCACGCTGTCCTGCCGACGTCTTCTTTGATGCTCCAAGATTGTAGGGAAGTCGGCATTCCAAGGACCTGGTCGAGCCAACCCTGAAGTCTGAGAAGTCAGGCGCTCATCGGCTTCCACTTCACTCAGACCTTTCGCCTCTGCGACTTCGATTGGACGCGTGGACCAAACGTCTCTCGAAAGCGCTGTTTGAAGAACGATCTGCAGACAGGACGAGTACAGCTCTTGCTGCGCGATGAGCGCCGACACTCGTACGCCAGCCTCACCAGCGTACTTGTAGTAAAGCTGCCTTGCTTGCTCTTCCCAGGACGAAGCTTCGTCACTTTCGTCATCCTCACGGTCGCTACTTGTCGTGAGATCGTTGTCGATGCCAGTGGCCGACCACCGATCGCCAGCCCACCATGCTTGCCCTCGGGAGCGCTTGATGCCTCGCGCCAAGAGTGAAAGCAACACCCCAGAATGGCTTGGCCGAATTTGTATCGTGTGTGGCGGGTAGCTCGCCGAAATGGAGCCAGTCGTTGCAGAGAATGGCGTATGCACGGTCTCGCTGCCGATGTGCAGCGAGGCAAGTGAGACCAGATCGAGACCAGTCAGCATGCTGAGGCTAGGGTCATCCAGATGACCAAGACCCTTAGTCAACGCTTGCAGTAGAGCATCCTGCCTCGCAACGCTGGAGGCGGGCGACGCAAAGTCTTCCGTCAGCTTGCGCCAGATGAGCGACAGGTTGATTGACGGTGTGCCTGTCTTTCCCGTGACTGAGCCACTTCTTCCGACGAGCTTGTGACACGTTGCCCCACTGCTTGCTTGTATGAGACGACGAAGCTCATCAGCGGCAAGACTTCGGACGATGTCTATGGGAAGGTCAGCAGGACCAAGCTGATGAGCAGCCGGCTTTCTGTCGAGACCCTGCAGCCACACCTGACTGATGCCATCCATGGCAAAGCAGGCGAAGTATCCCACGCTCGTCTCGCTTTTGCGCCACTGGCTCCAGCTGTCACTTCGGGGCAGTATGTCTCTCCAGGGTCGCAGGAGCGGCTGACAGTCCGAGGCGTATAGCTCGTGGTCCTGAGCGAATTCGGCGGGCGGGTGCGCTTGCCATACTCTGATTACCTGCTCCTGATCTGTATCTAGCGAGGTGATGGCATAGCCCACGGTATACATGGTCGTGGATGATGGATGTGCAGAGCAGAGAAGGACTGAAACGACCGATTTCGAAGAGCTCCCTTGTGGCACTGCAACCAAGCTCAGACTCTCGTCAAAGCTGTCCCTATCGTGTGGTATGACGAGCAGATTACGTCGAGGGTTCGAGCCGTCAAAGACTCGTATCGAAGTCGAGGTGGCAGATATGAGGATTGAAGCTCTCGTCTGGACTGCAGATTTTGAATCAGGCAAGGAAATGCTGACGGTGGAGCGAAAGACCTCGCGTTGCAGCGAGACTGGGCTCATGATTGTGGTGTAGAGCTCTTCAGTAGACCCATCTAGCAAGTCCAACCCGTGGATGCTTTGATCCGAGACCCGAAAAGCGCGATCGTGTGCGAAACTGTCCGCCCAGAGAATCTGGTGGTGTTGCGAGTCCTTTGCCGGTGTCAGAGCGTTGCGGGCGGCAGGCACGGCTAGCCGACAAGACTGACCGCGCGAGAGCCACTTTGATGTCCCATGACCTGTAGCGTCGACCTCCCACTCCCAAACATTCCCAGCTGTGTCGGTCAAGAGAGCAGAGGACTTCGTAGCAGGGTTCCAGGCGACATCTGAGATGGGCGAAGACGCTAGCGTGAAGGTGACTCCGACCGCCTCGTCTCGCAACGCACTCGCCACCGCCTTTGTGAGGAATGAGCAGATGTGCGAAAGCACGAACTGAGGGTAACGGCTCGATGCCTTCTCCAGTTGTCGCGGGCTCAGCTGATGGATAGCGGAGAAGTGGACACCTGTCAAAGTCTGAATTGAGATCCAGGGCCCCGCGTGCTGGTGCGATTTGCGTAGAGTGGGCTCCCTTGGCGCAAGCTTGATGCAGACGATGGGAGAATCGCTCACATAGGCCGGCAGGAGACTCTGCTGCAGTCTAGCTTGTTTGGGGCTATCTGCCGTGCTTAGCAGCCCATTCTTCTTCCTCTTGGGAGGCCGTATGGTCTGGCGTGTTGGTGGGCTCAGGCTTGAGATGACTGCAGGAGACAATGAGCGAGAGTGACGTGAGCATGACAAGTCCCATCAAGTTTGCAAGTTGCAAGTGACTCACACAGATGACGATCGTCCGGTCCGCCCACATGGATGATGAGAAGCTTGTCTGCATCTTCAGTATAGGAGGTGACCAAGAGCTTAGCGCCAGACTTGAGCCGCGGAACGGACCTTTTCTCAGTCAGAGTCTCCAGCAGCTCCTCAGGGACATCTTCAACCTCGTTATATAGGGCTTTGGGCCGCCCTGACCTTTTGTCGGCACGAGCAGGCTCGGGTCTTGAGCTCTTGGATGGGGGAAAGATCGGAAGCGGCTTCGAAGTAGCATGTAGGGAGGGGAGACCAAAAAGATCGCTGCCGAAACTAGCTTGGAGCCTTGGTGTAGAGGGCCCTGCTTCGGCTTGTTGGTCCTGACCAGTGGCCGTGAGCCACAGGCTGCCTCTGGTACCCGTCGCGGCCAGGTTCTGTACCATCACCTTTGTGCCATTGCAGGTGCGGAAGTAGAGGTTCAAAAGAATCCCAGGCGGACGCGGCCGAAATCCGAAATCCGAAATGCCACGGCCGTGCGGACCGGAGAGAAGCCGGCGACTTTGGAGATTGCCGGCGATGCGGAGAGACACTTCTCCGCAATTCCCCACACTCAACAAGTCCCCCTCGTCCCTCCCCCCTTCGCAGCCTGACCCTCACGACTTCAGTGCCTCCAGGCGGACAGTCTTCACTTCGCCACTCAATCTCACCTTCATCCCTCTTTCCATACCCTGATCCCCACTCAAGACAGTCCCATACCGCCAGCATGTCATCAGCAGCATCTCCAGAGGTCGCCTTTGTCGGCCTCGGCAACATGGGCGCAGGCATGAGCGCCTCCCTAGCCAAGAAGGGCATCTCTGTCACCGGCTTCGACTTGCGACCCGAACCGGTCGAAGTCCTTGTCAAAGCTGGTGGAAAGGGTGCAAAGTCTGCAGCCGAGGCGGCTAAAGGGAAGAGTGTCTTGGTGATCATGACTATCAATGATGCGCAGGCCAAGGCCATTCTCTTCAACGCTGGAACCCTCGAGGCTCTAGCCGAAGGGGCAGTCGTGGTCCTTACTTCTACTATCAGCCCAGATGCAGCCAACGCCCTTTCTGAAGCAGTATTTAAGGCACGAAGCGACGTTGGCTTCGTGGACGCCCCCGTAAGTAAGCTGCGCTTTGAATCCTTGATTCTCGCCCAAATCTGACCAACCCTCACGCCTTAGGTGTCTGGAGGTACTCCAGGAGCAGAGAACGGCACACTCACGATCATGGCTTCGGGTGCAAAAGCACACTACGACAAAGCAAAGCCTGTTCTAGACGCAATGGGCACCAAGGTATTCCACGTCGGCGAACGTCCAGGTCAGGGCTGTAGTATGAAGGCAATGAACCAGATCCTGTGCGGTGTTCACCTTGTCGCTGCTGCCGAGGCCCTTTCCTTCGCCAAGGCCACTGGAATCGACCCTGAACTTGCATTGGAGATCGTCAAGGGCTCCGCAGCGGGCAGCTGGATGCTGTCGAACCGGGCTCATCGCATGCTCGAGGAGGAACCGACCTGCTATAGCTCCGTGCAGACTTGGGCAAAGGACTTTGGTATTGTTTTAGACGCCGCACGACAGACGGGAGCCCATCTGCCATTGTCTGCCATAGCTGGGCAAATGTGGTACTCTGCCATGGCGAGGGGTCAGGCGGTGCTCGATGACACGACGGTGAGTGGAAGCAGACACAAGAAAGGTACAACGTAGAGGTCCGACTCACATCGTCGAAGTGTCCTGCTCTCCCAGATCATCCGCCAGTACGATTTCCTCAACGGGAACGATCTGAAGGACAAGCAGAAGAAGTAGACGATCCGCTGCGACGCAATGTTGGCCGACATCAGGCTGCGACATATGATCATCGCAATCCAATCAAAGCATGGGCCCAAAGAGTTGGCAGTGATACAGTGTGAAATCGAATTCTTGGACCAAACGAGGAAAAGCGTGTTACGAGCATCGTCACCAGCCTGAGGATCCCTGTCGCACTCGGTGTCCTTTCAACTAACCGTTGAGTCTCGCCTGTCACACAATCCTTCTCTCGCAGAGCATAAGTTGCAAGAAACTCGGCATTCGGACATAGGACAAAGGGTAAAAGAAAGCAAATCTAACAGTGAAATCTCCTCCATCGATCACAATCCCGTCCGCCTCTCACCCGACGGTATCCGTGGAGTAGCAGGAACAATCTTGGGTGTGCGTGCCAGCAGGCTCTTCGGCACTCTCGGTGTCTGCGGGATGACCAGTGGTGTTTCAGGCAGTCCATGGTTGGTCCTCCCGACTGCTCCCCCAAGGCCCCTCATCTGCGAGCCCTTGCTCAAGGGCGTAGAGGGGACGGCTCCTTCCCCGTAGCCGTAGGTGTTCTTCATCGTGACTGACAGCTGACTCTGGCTTTGGCTTCCCACTCTCGCCACACTCTGCTGATACCTCTGCGACAGGGGTCCAGCGGCGGAAGGTGTCCTAGGAGGAGCAGGATTCGTGCGAGCCTTGCGTGCAGAAGCGGCGAGAGCGGCTGAGACAATCGCAGCCTCTTCTGCAACGGCTTCGCTGAGCTCTGTGTTTTCGACTGCGAGCGACTTGGTTTGACCGTTCGTCTTGTAAATTCCAACCAGCCGCGAGGACAGCTCGAACATGTTGTTCCGCAGGGAGATGATCACGAACTGAGCATTCTTAGTACGCTCCTTGATCAGGTTCGCCACAATGGAGACATTGCGGAAGTCGAGAGCGGCGTCGATCTCGTCCATGACGTACAAAGGCGTCGGCTTGTACACGTGAAGGGCAAAGACGAGCGCAAGTGAGGCAAGAGTCTTCTCGCCTCCCGACAGGTTGCTGATGTTTTTCCAGCTCTTCTTAGGAGGCATGACGGAGAAGAGGATACCTTCACTGAATGGGTCCAAGCTGTCACATAGCTCGAGCTCAGCATTTCCGCCCAATGTGATAGTCTGGTACATTTCCTTGAGCTTGGACGAGATGAGACTGAAGCCCGCCACGAACTCGTCCAGTCTTCGTTTCCGCAGCTCGTCTTGACGATCCTTGGCTGCATCGCGCTCTTGTGTGACCTGCTCGAGATCCTTCCACCTGGCAAGGTACTCTTGCTCCCGCTTGCGATATTCGGCAAGAATGGCAAAGTTGCCCGACCCATTCTGAACCTTCTCTTCGTACTCGGCAATTTCCGCCTTGATGGTGTCCCGATCCATCGTTGACAAGTCTTCGTCGTCGTAGATGACCAGCTCATCGTCATTGTTCTTCTTGCTCTTCTTGCCGCTCTTCTTCTTGCTGAGGTCTTCTTCCTTGTCGGCTTGCTCCTCGGTGTTGCTCTGATCAGCAGCTTCGTCGCCTTCGGCCTTGTCAATCTTCTCTTCAGCCGCATCACCCTCTTCCTCCTCCTCTTCTTCATCATCTTCATCCGAGTCGATCTGATGAAGCTCAAGCTTCTGGTGCTTCTCCTCCCAATGCTTCAGCTTCTTCTCATTGTCGACGAGTGACCTCTGATTGTCTTCCATCTTCTGCTTGATCTCGACCTCTAGCGAGCGGAAGGCATTGACCAGGCCGGAGCTCTCGTCGAGCTTGGACTTGAGCTCATCGCGTTCTTCCTGCTTTTCCTCAAAGGCGGCTTGTCGCTCCTCTAGCTTGGCTCGGGCTTTGCTGACGACTGTGCTCTTCTCTGAGCTCGAAGACTTAAGACCAGCCATCTCTTCTTCGACTTCCGCCAGGGCAGCCTCGTGCTTCTTGATTGCCGCCTCCAGCTTCGTCGTGTCCTTTTCAGCCTTGGCCTTGGCCACTTCAGCCTTTGTGCTCTTCTCATTTGAGAGCTCAATCATCTCCTTGATGCCATCGACCTTGGACTGTTGAGCTCGCAGCTTCACACCACCGGCGTCGAGGATCTTCTCTTGAAGATCAGCAATATCAGACTCGTAGACAGAAGTCTTTGATCGCAGCTTGGCGATTTCGCCTTCGAGTGTCTGTAGCTCCGTTTCTAGCTGCGTCAGCCGAGAGGCTTCGGCTGCATCAGGCTGACTTTGTGACTTGAGCTCCTCGACTCGTTTCGAGGCCTCCTCGAGAGTCTTGGCTCCCACCTTCAAAGCCATCTGAGCCTTTTCGACCTCGACGTCAATCTGACTCGGGCGATCTTGCATGTCTCTCAGCTCGACTTCGTAGCGTTGAACCTTCATGGTCAGTGCCTGTAGCTCTCCCTCGAATTGGACGACTTCCTGCTGCAGACGCGCAATTTGCTCAGGAGAGTACTCGGCATCGGCGAACTTGGAGGACATGCCTCCGCGGCTAGGACGGTTGCCACCTCCGGACATGGTACCACTCTTGTCGATGAGCTGACCATCGAGGGTCACGACACGGTATCGAGTAGCCCCATAGGCAACACGCTTGGCTTGGTCGAGATCGCGGGCGACGAGGGTGTCTCGAAGAGAGTGATAGAAGGCAGGCATGTATCGAGCGTCCCGAGGCTTGACTAGGTCCACAAGCCGAGGAACGTTCTCCGGTGTCTGAATGGGCTGAATGGAGAGATTTGAGACAGATTGAAGAATAACGAAGTTGGCGCGTCCAAGGTTGTTCTTCCGCAGATGTTCGATGCAAGCTTGACCATTCTCTACCTTCTCAACTACGATGTTGTCGAGTCCTGGGCAGGCCGTCGAGATAGCAATGTCGTACTTGTCATCGATGACACCAAGCGAACCCAAGCGGCCATGGAAGCCCTTGATCATGCCGAGCTCGGCTTGACGTGACAAGGCAGCAAGGACAGTTGATTGAGAGGCGCTGGCTTGCTGCGTTGATTTAGCCTCTTCCGACTTTGCGCGAGCGGCAGAGGCCTTTGCTCGCAGCTTTGCCTCCTGACTCTTGAGTCCCTTGAGTGAATCGAGCATCTCCTCGGTCTTGCCTTCTACTTCCTCCTTCTCAGCAGCAAGGCTCTTGAGCTCTTCCTGTTTTGCCTTCAGCTCGTCTTTCACGTCTTGTCGCTTCTGACGGCTGTCCTGTAGCTCCTGCTCTCGAGCTTCCTCGCGCCCCTTGATCAATTCGACCTCTTGAGCCTTGACGTCTCGAGTACCCTCCTGTTCTTTGACTTTGTCCATCCAAGGAGCCAGCTCTCGTTGCTTTGCCTCGATCTGCTGAGAGAGGTGGCCAGTCTTGCCCTTGAGCGAGTCACGAATGGACTCGAGAGAAGACTCCTCTGACTCTAGTGAGGCCTCCAGCTTCGCTAGCTCGCTCTGGAGTCGCTCAATCTCCTCAGCTGAAGAGGTCATGGTGGTTCTAGCCTCAGAGAGGTGATGCTTGTCGTCGTTGAGTGCCTTTGCGACCTTTTTCTTCTTGGTCTCAAAGTGCTTCTTCTTCTCGCCGACCTGCAAGTCTTCCTTCTCCAGCTTCTCGACCTCCTTGGCCAACTTGCCGACTTCTGCCTTCAAAGCGTCCCACTCCTTCTTGCTCGTAGCGTAATTCGCTTCGAGCTCGGCAATGTTGGCCTGGGCGTCCTTGTGCCTCTCCCTCTCTTTTGTGATTTTCTCACTCAGAGCCGCCATTGTAGTCTGTGCCTTCTCGATGTGCAGACGGCTCTCGTACATGTAGATTTGCCAGAGAACAGATTGTCGATGCGCGAGGGCATTGTGATCCCGCAGAAGCGACTCAGCCTCTCGCTTCTTTCCCTCCATCGCGTCCTTCTCGCGCTGAACGATCTTCAGTCGGCCAAGTCGCTCGCCTCGCTGCTCGTTGCAGGCGTCAACGACCTTGATCGCTTCTTCAATCTCCTCTTTGAAGCGCGAAGTGCCGATGATGTCTTCGAGGTACTCCAGAAGACCCTCTTCATGCTCTGTACGTGCCTTTGGTGGCATCTGAGCGATGGACTCGACTTCACCTTGCAGAATCAAGAATCGCTTGTGGTCAAGGTCGATTCCGCGCCCTTTCAGCAGAGTCGTGACCTCGGTGAAGCTCGACTTCTTGCCGTTCACATGGTAAACAGACGAATTATTCTGATACGCCGTACGCGAGACGATGAGCTTAGACTTGGGCACGACCTTGTATGCGTCAGGTCCTGGCAGATCGATGATCTCTCGGAAGACGACGCTGACTTTGGTATCGGACGGCTTTGTCTGATTTGCCATTGCAGGAGAGTGGATAAGCTCGCCTAGCTTGCCTTGCCTCATCTTGTTTGCTCGCCAACCAAAGACGAAGAGAAGCGCATCGATGACGTTACTCTTGCCAGATCCATTGGGCCCCACAACGGATGAGAAGCTCTTGTGGAAAGGACCAATGGTCTGAAGTCCAGCGTAAGATTTGAAGTCTTTCAAAACGAGCTTATGAATGACAAGGCGGCTTGTAGGTTGCTGAGATGCTGGAACTGCTGGCGTTGAGGGAAGATTGGAGCCACTTAGCTTGCTTACGGGCGTCGAAGGGACGGATCCGGGCTGAGCAGAGCTCATCGAGTATCTTGAGGCATGAGCTGGTAGGCTGTCCTGAGCCTCAGGTCGGGACGGGGCGATGAAGGTGGCATCGGCATCGATCGAGTCGGATGCATCGGCAGTAGCTGCAGTATCATCGGCACTTTCCACTGGCGGACTTTGGCGCCGCTTGCTTTGTGAAGAGGACGCGGCTTGACTTGTGGTCTGCTTCTTCTTAAGTTGAGCAGCTGGCTTAGTCGCAGCCAGGTTGCTATCAGAGGCGTCGCCTTCTTCGTCTTCTTCCTCCTCACTTTCACTCTTGACAGCCTGCTTAGCCGATCGCTTGGGCTGAGAGATTGCTGCAGTTTTCCTCGAGGCCGGAGCCGCAGGGGCCTTGTTGGCCCTAGCTCGAGGTTTGACCACCTCCTCCTCTTCCTCTTCGCCCGAGCTCAAGCCCATCTCATCATCCGAGTCAGCTGCTGGCGACCTTTGTCGAGCATCATCTTCCTCCTCCTCTTCATCTTCATCTTCATCCTCATCGCTATCGCTAATCTGTCTGCGGCTTCTAGGGGCTGCTGCTGCTGCACCTCTCCTGGCAGGACGCGTTGTGGATGAGGAAGAGGATACCGAGCGTGTGTCCTTGCTCTTCGCAGCGGCGGCGGCAGGCTTGGTACGTGAAGTTGGCGCAGCCTTTGCAGCAGGCGCTTTGCGTGGCGGCATGGCTACTGTCCGTGGCGACGACGACACAGCTTGAGTAGGGGAGACGTCAGGTACAGAAGAAGAGGATGGTGAGGGTATAGGCACGGACGGGGTGAGGGCAAGCGGAAAGGCGGAGGGGCGGCACGCACACCCGCCCAAGTGTTGTTGTGGGCGCGCCTGCACGAGCACGAGACGCAACACAATTTCAATCTCCGCGCCACTCCCGCTTCCTCACGACGCGACGCCTGATGGCCTCTTAAGAATGGGGTACATGAAGTGCAATAAGAACAGACATCGACATAAGAGTATGGAATCTAAACGTCCGCCACAGGCTCCACGACAACTCATGAGTCTACTTTCTTCTTACATCACTTTTTCTTGCCCTTTCTCTGTGCCGAAGAAGTAGACGAGCCAGAGGAAGAGAGCGAGGAGGAAGATACGGGGGGAAGTGCCAGTGAAGCCGGTGCTGGAGATGGCAGTGCACCAGGCGGGGAAAAGGGCTTCTGAATCGTGATGGCGGGCGTCGTGGCAGTCGCCGCCGCCGTTCCGCTCTTCACCAGGGTAGTGACCTCAGCAGCAGCCACTGCAGACTTGTCAATCACGGGGGAAGTGGTCAGTCCACTGCTACCGCCGCTGACTGTCCTGCCAGTGGTGATCGTAGTGCTCGTGTGCTTGCTCCCCTCGGAGCCGCTCTGAGCACCCTCGCCATTGACGTCGCTTGAGCTGAAGGACGCAGGTCCTCTTCCGGGAGTGAAGGAGCCAGCGCTCCGGTAGCTTGCGCCACTGGCGGGGCTCTTGCGCGAAAAAGGCGGCAGAGAAGGAGGAGAATAGCCGCTGCTGCTCGAGGGCGTGCCAGCCGAAGCTGTGCCCTTGAGTCTCATTGCTCCGACTGCATTGCCCACCTCTTCGTCCAAAGCGAGCCCACCTACGAGGAAGTCGTCATGACTGCTAGTCTCTTTGCGGCGAGCTCCCTTGTTGCCGCTGAACTCCGCAAATGAGTCCCAGCCGAGATGATCCCCTTCCACATCCTCTTGCATACCCCTCGCAGCAGCCCAGGATCTCTCCTCGTCTTCACCCTCCACCTCATCCTCCAGAGCTTCACTGATAGCAGTGTCAGCCGTATCCGCAGATCCAGACCCAGTGGAAGTTGTGCCTGCTCCGCCATTGGGTGAATGACCGCCAGCAGAGACTAGAGAGCTTGGCCCACCATTGGGAGAGAGGGCTGCGTTGCGGGCATCGGCAAAGATGTGCGCATCGTGAGAGATGTCTTCGTCGAAAGACAGGCCGACACTACGCGGGCTGGAGCGAGCCAGACTACCGATTCCCCCGGCTTTAGTGCTAGGCTTCCGCAGAGTGCCGACTACGCCCCTGCCAATATCGCGGGAAGCTGCTGCAGTGATGCGGATCGGAGTAGTCATACTGCCGGTGACGCTCTTGCGCCAGCTGGGTCGACGGGCAGCCTGCCCCTGTGGGAAGCTGGGTATACGTTGTGAAGGAGATTGGCTATCAAAGAAGGCGGGCTCGTCGAAGGCAGGAGAGGCGATTGCAAGGGCTAGACCACTGAAAGAGCCTCCTCCTGCATCGTCTTCAGAGGCCATGTCAACCTGCACTGCCTCACGAGTTTGCAGCGGTAGAGCCTTCGAGCGGGGTACATCGATCAGTACCGGCTCGGAGCGGATAGGGAGATCCGTTGGGTGGATGATTGTTCGCAATTTGATTTGGTGGGACAAATAGATGGACGTTGGCAACGCTCGAGGTGTACGGTCGTACGTCTCGATCTCGGCCATCGAAGCCCACCCCCTAGGAGGTGCTCTGCTTGAGCTTGGCATCGCACGCGGTTCTACAGCTGAAGATGGTGCCAGTTGGGGCTGCACCTCGGGAGCGTCATGAGTCCGAGCCAAACCGGTCCAGATGGCAAGAGCAATGCATTCTCCATGAGGTCGCCGTCTCTGCTGCTGCTGGACACGAGGCGCTTGGCTACCGCTCTTCGACATTGGCGCCGAAGCGGCGCTGTAGCCAGGAGAGCCTCCCGTCGTCGCTCGCCTCATCATCACGGTCAGGCCCGACACTCGATTTGTAGCGTCGGACGCTGAAGATGCAATGGTCTCTGCCAGGGATGCCTGTGCGACTGTCACCCTGCTGAGAGACAGAGCAGCCACTGCCGGATGAAAGCAAAGGACGTCGATGCCCTGGAGTACCGAGGCTCCGGCCTTGGCAAAGAGGAAGGCTGGAGATGCTAGGATCTGGAGGGGAGTCACATCAAGCGAGGGGACTTGAGTCACACCAGTCTGGCTACCCTCAGCAGCTGTTGCCATCGAAGCTGATGTCTGCTTTGGCCGAGGCGTCCTAGCAAAGCTAGTCAGAGTAGAGCCGAAAGGCATAGCTCTCGGACCGGAAAGGGCTCCGAGTTTGTACACGTGAACAGTGCCCGTGTAAGTCAAGACTCCGAGCCACTGTCCATTTGGCGTCCACTTGGCATCGCAGACTTGCGCCGTAGTGACTCCACGAAGGAGCTTGCAGCGGTGGATGGCCGGCGGAGGAAGGCCGCCCGAAGGCAAGCCTCGAGGCCGTGGGCGAACCTCGAAGATGTTGAAAGCGTGGCCAATGGAGTCTGCCACGAAGACATTCGAGCTCGTGGGATCGAGCTTGACTGCAGCGATGTTCGCTGAGCCGGGGCGGAAGCTGGCGGCCAGGTGGACAGACGAGTGATCAGTGTCCTCTGCAGTGAACAGATCAAGTATCTTCACAGTTGCAGCGGTCTTCGTGTCACTGCGTGCGTTCGAGGAAGGGCCTGCCTTCCCACTCATTTCGCCTGTGAGCCGTGGCGAGACGAGGCTCGGCGAGTCGCGCGGTGATCGAAGCAGGGGAGAGGGGCTTGTATGCTCATGAAGTGTTGGGGAAGTTTCTTGTTGCTGTTGGTGCTGTGAAGATGAACTGCCAGCGACCGCCGATAGATACGAAGAGCCCCAGTCCCCGAGGTTCTTGGCGCCTGCCATCAAGCCGCCACCCACTCGCTTTGCTATGTCACTTGCCTGAGCTCCTGCCTCGAGCGCAGAGAGTCTCATCTGCTCGGAGGTCGTGTAGCCGGCGTCGCTGGGTATGCGTGAGGACGAGCCACGGGCAGAAGAGTCGCCATGGCGTCCTACTGAGTTGAAGGACACCACGTTGTGGCTCTTGTCAAGAACAGTACTCGCATAGGCTAGCATTCTTCCAGACAGATGAAAAGCAGGAACAGTGTCGCTATTCAAGGATGAGCTTGAGACGTCCACGATTGGTTCAAGCACGCTGTTGAGCGTAGTTGCATCCAGGACGTGGAGAGCGGGAGGATGAGACTGACCCACTACCACCCGTCCTTTGGCAACCTGGATGGCAGAGCTCATATACGACGCGTGTGCAGAGACTTGTCCCACCCGAGGCAGCGTCGTGCTCTGCGTCACCATCTGAGAGGTCAAGGAGCATCGAGAGACGATCAACGTATCATGTCCCTCGAGTGTGACCAAGAGCAGGCAGGGGCGACAGCCATTCGAAGTGTGAAGCTTAGCTGCCAGGACTCTGCCTGCTATCCGGTCTTTTGGTAGCAGGAATTGCTGGAAATTAAAGATCTCACGCAGATCCTGATCGCCGCTTTGGCCAGTGCTACCGGTGTGTGTGAAGATCTGTAGGCCTCCAGAGGCATAAGCAATGAGGAGGGCCTGTCGAGAAAGTGATCCTACCTCTACACCGGTAGGCAATGTGTCCCATCCTGTCCAGCTGATATGCTCAGTCTGACCGAGTAGATCATGAGCGCCCAAGGCTCCCTCGAAAAGGTCAGCTGGCCTCTGCTGGAGCGCCGGATCAGCATTGCCTCCCATTGCGGCAAAGATGGGGCTGGGAGAGCTGGACATGGCCTCGGAATCTTTCTGGCGGGTCGCCTTGTACTTGGCCAGGGGGTCATGGGCGGCAGCCGCGGTCGAGAGAGTCTGGAGTCCAGTAGAGGCATGTCTGGAAAGCGCCGAGATGGTGCTGCTGATGGTCTCTACTGCCGTGGCATCGCGGATGAGCGTCGGAGAGATGGTACGCCCATTGCTGATAGTGCCATCACTCCCCTCGCGGGAAGGGGCGCGTACGGATCCGAGAGCCTTGTTGGGCGAGGAGCCGCTCGCAGGCATGGAAGCGCAGCGGCGTGGGGTTAGAGAGCTAGCTAGTCACGATGTGTCGAAGATGTGTCCGTGGGATATGTGATGATGGCGACGGTGTAAAGAAATGGTTGTTGTGATGGGCTACTGAGAGGGGGCCTGTTGCTGGAGCTAGTCAGAGCCAAGGGGAAAGATAGAGCCGGTACTAGTTGGACGCGAAAGGGGTGCTGATAGATACGCTCAGTGCCTTGAAGAGCAGAAGATCGATGGATAAGGTAGAAGCGAAAGAGAGACGTCGAGTCGAGTAAGGAGAGAAGGCGCTTGCGAGTCTGGCCTGGTGATTGTAGGTGTCAGGGAGCGTGATTGTGTAGAGAGGGCGGGGCTTGACGCGGATGCGTGGGCTGTGGAGGACCAAGCGTGGCGGCGGGGGGAGGGTGTTGGGGAAGCGAAGGAGCGAGGTGTGTCAGGTCAAAAGGAGAGAGGGGCGGTGATACAGTGCCAACGATTGATATAGGGATGAGTCTGATGGTGATGATGATGATGATGATGTCTGGTGTGTGCGTATGGATGGTAGCTTGTCGAGGCGACGTGGTGGATGCTGATGTTGGTGCTCCCCTGGCCTGTGCCTATCACCCCCGCCGTGGGGCGGATGCCATTGCCGAGGCCGAGTGCCTGGGTGGGACGTGCACTGCGTCGTGCGCCTCTCCGCTTTTGCTCGGCATCCACCTTTGCCGGTCGAGGATCGTCGATGCCGTCCTTGGCTACTCGCTGCATTCGTCCCTCTTTCCCATCATACTATACCATCTCAGATACCAAGCAGGTCGACGCTACTGCCCAAAGATGGCAGAGACACTCGTCGAGATACCCAGTGTGTCGCGCCTCTCGCCACGGGTGATACGCATCCTTGGACAGAATCCCGGCAAGTTCACATTACAAGGTGAGTCGCTCCGGACTTAAGGCGCCACTTTGCCGACGACGGTTGCTCAAGTGACTCCACACTCCTCTGCCTCATCTGTTGCACCTCCAGGCACCAATACCTACCTCATATCATCGCCGGAAAAGTCCAGCCCCTCGGCCGAGAGTGTGCCCTCGATCCTCATCGACACAGCAGAGGGAGCTCCAGAATATCTCGACCTTGTCAAGAAGGTCCTGACGGGTCAACACGCCGACACTGGCTCTCAAAAGCGTCATATTACCGACATGTGAGTCAGTTGCCGCACTGAAACAGACGCATCATGGCTGAATCTATTTCTATCCCCTGCAGAATCCTCACACATTGGCATCATGACCACGTCAAAGGTCTACCCTCGGTCCTCAAGACCATAGCAGATCTCTCCCATCAACCCCCCAAGATTCATAAGTTCCCGAACCAAGATCAGGACCCGTCCATTCAGAGCAGCATCGAGGGATCATCGTCTGCCAGTAGCCTTGCAGCACTAAATGACGAGGCAATTATGCAAGCAGGCAGTAGCGCTTCCCTCCGCGCTCTGCACACGCCGGGACATACTACGGACCACCTCTCCTTCCTTCTAGAGGAAGAGGGCATCTTCTTCAGCGGAGACAACGTCCTCGGTCAGGGTACCTCAGTCTTCGAAGATCTAGGCGCATACATGGGCAGTCTCGACAGGTCACTGAAAGTCTTGGAGCAGGCTGGTGCGCCAGAGGGTGGAGCTGGCGAGGAGAATAAGATCTTCCCCGCTCATGGCCCCGTCATCGAGGAAGGTAGGAAGATGATCAAAACGTATCGCAGTCATCGATTGGACAGGGAGAAGCAGGTATTGCAGCTGTTGGGCGAGAGCAGTCCCAGCGGGAAGAAGGATGAAGAGACGGGATCGCCCGTGTGGACCGTCATGGACCTGGTAGGGAAGCTCTATGCTGCATGTGAGTCCCAGATTAGCAGCAAGCCTCAGTCGAGGGTTCGTGAGACTGACGTTCCCCTCATCATCTGATCCTCCTTCTAGATCCCGAGGCCCTCTATCCAGCAGCAGCCAGGGGCATCTTCCTCCATCTGCACAAGCTCGGCGCAGAGTCAAAGGTCAAGTGCACAGGAGCAGATGGAACCTTTCTGCCCCCGGTGACTCCGCTGAAGGTGGAGTACATGGAGCTAAGCTGGTCCCCGTCTTCCTCAGCCACAAGCGGGCCTGGCAAGCTGTGATAGATGGATAGTAGCAGCTCGTTCAATGTCTAAAATTACAGATGTCTTCCTCGTCTCGCCCTGCATATCGTATCACCGTGCCCAGAGTCGACTAGGCAAAAGAGACCGTCTTGTACTTCTTGGGTGGCTGTGCCTTGAGTGGTCCTTTCACCTTCCTAGCTTTGGCCTCTTCGTCATCTGAATCATATGCCGAGACGTCTGCTGCGAGCTGCTTGCGCTTCTCCTTTCTCAACTTTGTCTTCTCCCTGCGCTGCGCCTTGAGCTCGGCCCGGATTACCGCCTTGGTGCGGGCTGCTGCGCCTGGCCCTGGCGATGCTGCTGATGATGGATCATCCGAGGTACTGCTCTTGCCCTGAGAGATAAGGAGGAGTGTTTGAAAGAGATCAAGATCCCGTCAGTCTCATCCATCCCATCTCAGACCCTAACTTGCCCAGCCAAGTCCAGTCCAGTCACCCAGTGACTTCGTCCGACTCACCTTTCCCGCCCCCTCTTTCCGGCTGTTCTTCTCCATTCTCTTCTTCTTCTTCCACTGTGCACTCTCCCGGTTCTTCTCTGCCCTCTGCGAGTTTCGATCTTCCTCGGTCGATCCAGCTGCAGAGGCTAGAGAGAGAAGGTGCGAGAGGCCGAGGGACTCGGAGAAGATCTTGCCCTTCTTGCCCGGCCCGCCGCTTTTGCCCTTGATGGGGCGCCGTGAGGATGAGGCGGTGGCCGAAGAGGAGGAGGCTTCGCTTTGTTGTGGCAGGGTATCTGGAGAGTCAGACATGATGGTTGTGGGTTGCGTAGGGTATCTAGATGAGGAGGAGGAGGAGGATGGGTGGCCGGGAAGACGGGGAGTGAGCGGCGTGATTCACTCACGCCTTGAAATTTCAACTCAAATGTTCTGGTGCATTGGCCCCACGCCGCCCTTTCCGCGCATCTGGACTGGATCATCCCGAACAGCTGCCTGCCTCGACCATTGACGACGTTCTTCCTACCTTTGATCTGTACATTTCCTAGCATCTCGAGTAGAGTCGGCCCTCCTGCCCTCCCCCACACCTTCCCTGACCCAAGATGTACGGCCGCCCACCGCCGTCATCATGGCAGACGAATCCCAACAATCCCAATATGGCTCCCATCCCTTCAGGGCCTCGCGGGGCCGGCGTGGGTCCACCTCCAGGTCCTCCACCGCCCATGGGCCCCGGAGGACCGTACGGTGGGGGCTCTCCTCACGATCCCAATGGTAGTCTACCTCATCGGTCGGGTCCTCCACCAGGGTACGGCAGTGCTCCTCTACCTGGTCCGGGGGGGCCTTCTGGTACAGGAAGCAACTCCATCCCCAGTGCCCAAGTCGACCCCTCGACTACGATCTTTGTTGGGTCAATCACCCCTGGAGTGTCGGATATGATGCTCAAGCAACTCCTCGGCTTCTGTGGTACTCTCGTCAATCTCAAGAGGATTTCTCCGGCCTTTGGCTTCGCCTCTTTCGATCATCCTGAAGCTGTCATTCGTGCTATTGACCTACTCAATGGTCTCGCCCTTCCCCCACCAGGCGTGACAGACAACTTCGACAAGCAGGAGAAGACAAAGAAGCTCAATGTCAAGGCAGACGAGAAGACGCGGGCATTTGTAGAAGAGTACAAGGCGAATAGAAGCTCGAGAGCTACAGCCGAGGATGAACTGGATAATGCGGGCAAGGCGCAGATTGACAACTTTGTCAAGCAGCTCGCCGCTCCGGATGCCCTCTCCCACTTTGCAGACGCTGCTTCGGCGAATGCTACATTGGTACCTGCACATCTGAAGGACTTGCCGCCGGAGGATGTACCAGAGGAGCATAGGACCTCGGTCCTTGGGGAGATTGACAAATTCAGGCAGGCAAGTGCAGCAAGAGAGGAGGAGAAGAGGATGCGGGAGAGGGTCCTGGAGAGGGAAAGGATGCAACAAGCTCATATGGCAGGTGGTTCGGGGCCTGGAAGACCTACTGGACCGAGACTGGGTGGACCACCTACCGGACCGAATGGCGCGGCTGGAGTGAACCCGCAGAGCTTCAATCACGGAGCTCCTAATTTTGTCCAGTCGAGAGCTGATGCAGGAGCCAAGTCGCTAGAGGATATGGACCCAGAGGAGGCGGATGAGGTGGAGCATCAGAGACGAAAGGAGCTTGCCGCAAAGGACGACGAGCGGCGGACTGCAGAGGTGAGTAGCTGCCACGGAAGCGACTGCGCTTTGAGCTTGCATTGCATATTGAATGACTCCTTCCCTTTCCCCTTCTTCCAGGCCCTGTCAGCATACACAAATCGCGAGCGGCAACGTCTAGCCCATTGGACACGCATCCTGGAAGACAGCAAGCTCGAAGACTCCCGTCGCGAAAAGCTGCGATCCCAACTGCTGCACCGTAGCGAAGAATGGGATGAAGACTTAGAGCGTTCCCGCGAGCTGTTCTGGCTCGATCGTCCACGCTGGCGTCATTACCGCAATCCCATGCTGCGTCGGGAACAAGATGAGGATGCTGCTGATGCTCGTGCCGAGGAGGAAGAAGCGCGCAAGGCTCAACTCGAGGCGGAGAAGTTCCTTGCTAGACAGGAAGAGGAGATGAGGAAACATCTGGAGGAGCAGAGGAAAGCTGGAGTCCTCGTAGACGGGTCGAATATGCAACCTTTGAAGCTCAAGATTGGTGCTGGAGCCGGAGCGAACAAGGATGGAACTGCTCCTGCGCTTACGGCCCCTGCTGGTGGAGCTGTACTTGGTGGTGACGATGAGGACGAAGAGAGCAAGGCGAGGAGAGGCGCAGCGATCAAGGTGGATCTTGGAGACGGGATGACCCCCGAGGAGCGCACTGCCGCCGTGCAGGCTAAACGACGCGAGGTGCTAGCAGCCCTCTCGGACCTCTCGAGGGAGGATCTCTTCGGTGTACCCGTCAAGTGGGACTGGGTGGATGAGGCGAGCATCGCAGAGGTGTACCAGAGGAGGGTGGAGGAAGCCGTCACTGAGGCTATTGGTGAGCCGGTGCCAGAGCTGGTAGACGTGGTTGTGGGAATGATCAGGAGTCACAAGGGCGCCGAGGCGATTCAGCAGGCCGTTGAGCCGGTGAGTGAGCTGCGAAGCTGCACAGAAGAGGACGGAGAGAGTCTCAGGACGTTCTCGAGCTGACCATCTCTTCCACTCTGCTCCCCTCTCGCCTCCTCTATCAATCACAGGTAATGGCGGAAGATGCACCCGAGTTCACAGAATCCATCTGGCGCCTACTCGTCGAAGAGTCTACCGTCGCCTCGAGTGGTCTGCTAGCCTAGCAAGCCCTACAAACAGGTCGGGGAGAAGGAGAAGAAGAAGAAGGAGAAGGAGAGGTACGACGTGAGGGTGAGCGGGAGCTGTCTCCCCCTTGTCTTTCTTTCCGTGCGTGAATTTCAATACCATGCACATGTATCACAACCACCAGTGTGAGAGTAGACACATGCAGTTTCGCCCTCAAAGGGTCAATCAGCTCACTTCGCCTAGGTTGGTCTGGTGTCTCCTGTAAAATCTATCTGTATTGCGCGGTCAGCGATTGAGACAAAGACAAGGCGAGGCAAGGCAAGACGGGGACGAGGCAACGCAAGCACACCAAGTGCATTTCGATTATATCTGTATTTCTCCCTTGAGCCACAAAGCTGATGTTACAGACTCAGCGACAGAAAAGGGGATATGACACCGTATAGCTCAGTGATACACGGCCGGCAACGCTTTACTTGGACTTGTGCGAGAGGACCTTGGGTGCAGTCTCGCCCTGAGTGAAACCGTTCAGGCCAGCGTAAGTAGCGTTAGGCTCCAGCGACTCGATTCGCAGCAGCTGGTTGTACTTGGCAACCCTCTCGGATCGGCAAGGAGCACCAGTCTTGATGATACCGACTCCCAGACCAACAACAATGTCAGCAATGGTAATGTCCTCGGTCTCACCAGATCGGTGAGAGACCATGACGGCCCAGTTGTCCGACTGCGAGAGCTGAGCAGCCTGGATCGACTCGGAGATGGTACCAATCTGGTTGATCTTGAGCAGCAGACCGTTGCAAGCCTTCTTCTCAATGGCAGTCTTGATTCGGAGGGGGTTGGTGACAGTCAAGTCGTCACCAATGATGGTGACACCAGCGTTGGCGCGCAGGTGGGACCAGGCCTCCCAGTCGTCCTGGTCGAATGGGTCCTCGATGGAAGCAATTGGGTACTTCTTGATGAAGCCGATGTAGACGTCGGCGAGCTCCTTGCCGGAGATCCACTTGGAAGGGTCGCTCTTGGGGTTCTTGAAGTCCAGGTCGTACTTGCCCTCCTTGTAGAACTCGGACGAGGCAACGTCGAGGGAGATGTGGACCTTGCCCTCGTAGCCAGCCTTCTTGATGGACTCAGTGAGGACCTCAAGGGCCTCTTCAGCAGAGGCGAAAGGTGGGGCGAATCCTCCCTCGTCACCAACGTTGACGGAGTCGATGCCGTACTTGCCCTTGATGACGCTCTTGAGGGTGTGGTAGCACTCGGAGCCGATCTTCATGGCCTCAGTGAAGGTCTGAGCGCCGGTTGGGACGATCATGAACTCCTGGAAGGCGAGCTTGTTACCAGCGTGGGAACCACCGTTGATGACGTTGAGGGCGGGTGCTGGGAGGATGTAGGGGGCCTTGATGCCTGCGAGCGAGGCAATGTAGGCGTAGAGGGGCAGTCCCTTCTCGGCGGCTCCGGCGTAAGCGCTGGCAATGGATACGGCGAGGATGGCGTTGGCTCCGAGCTTCTCCTTGTTGGCAGTGCCGTCAAGCTTGATCAGGAAGTCATCGATGGCCTTCTGGTCAGCGACGTCGATGCCAGACTTGATGAGCTCGGGGGCGATGATGTCGTTGACGTTGGAAACGGCCTTGGAAACACCTTTTGACAGCACACAGATGACGAAGGGGGGAAGGTTGTGAGTATTGGTCATTGAGCGCCATCGAGGTGACTCATTGCTACGATGTATGCGTCTTGACTCACCCTTGCCGAGGTAGGCGGACTTGTCGCCATCACGGAGCTCGTGGGCCTCGTGGATACCGGTGGAGGCACCAGAGGGGGACACACCGCGGAAAGATCCCTTGTCGGTGACGAGGTCAACCTCGATGGTTGGGTTTCTGGTGGGACGAAGGCAACGGTAGGGCGCGAAAGGTGAGCATTCATGCGGAGGCCCGTGCATGGTACCGAAGACGAGGGAAGGAATGCGCAGTGACTCACCCTCGGGAGTCCTGGAGATGGTGAGACGAGTGATACGATCATGGTGATAGAAGGAGAGATGATAGTGAAGGAAGAGATGACGGTCAGCAGGGGAAAGCGGGCGACGCCTGGTCGCGCGGCGGGATGTAGTGTACGTACGAAGATCTGCGATGCGAAGAGGGGAAGAATGGAAAAGGTGGAGGTGGGTAGAGCAACGTGGGTCAGTGTTTGTCTGCGTGGAGTGTGTGGCCAAGTAAATGCCCTTTAGCAGTGCTTACCTGTCGGGCGAGGATCTTTTGGATGGCCATGGTGATGAATGTGGTTGGGTATGAAGCGTGTGTTGAAATCGGTGAAGAGACAGAGATATGGAAGAAGAGGAGAGAAGATGCGCCGGGCGGACTATCAACATCTTCGATTGTGATGGGGATGCGAGACCCGCCAGCCAGCCACGCACTCGGCCAGGGGCACGCGGATACCAGCGCGCACTCGTACAACTGCTCCCTCCTGCCTCTCGCTAGCGAAACCTCTCACAAGAGGAGAGATGGGGAAGTCACCCGGGACGCAGCGGAAGCTTCCAGGGATGGCACGATAGTGCCAAAGTCGACTGGGTCGTGTCAGATGGACCCGCCTTCATCGCCAGGCTCCATGCATGTCTGGCCTTGTGCCTTGTTCAATTCTAGCCATGCTATCCACCGACGCCAGTCATCTATAGCGGCGCTGTTCTGATTGTGAATCTACTCCACTGATGCATACAAGCAATGAGCGCTCTCTCTTTGCCGATTCTCAGAAGCCTCTCGATACCTGTGTCTCTTTGTCAGAGCAGTAGGAACGTCGTGCATGTCCGGCTGAGGTATCCAACGGAACGGAACCGGCGGAGCGGGGGCGAGCAGGCGGCCTGGGTGTCGCAAGCGCACAGGCTGGCAAGGCACGACAGGGCGAGACAGAGGCCGAGCCAAGGGGGTATCAGAACACTTGTCACCACTTCTTCCTCCGTCATTCCCTCGAGCTCAGCCCACCAAGGTCGACAGTGACGACTCATCACCACTCTCCTCTTAATTCTCACCAGGTCCGCTGCACACATCTCTGCGACCGCGTTGGATCTGACTGTGGCGCGTCAGGCATCACAGCACGCCAGGAACTAGGCAGCAACAAGTGTATCAAGGATCTACCATCTACAATAGTCGCGGAATACGCCGACAGAGCATTCACAGCTACGCCGCAAGCTCAGTCACCTAACTTCAGAGTGATCCGTTAGTGTGGTCTGTTCAGGATTTCCTTGCGACCTCTCAAGTGCACTCTTCGCCCTACTATAGCAGCACCGTCCCTCGCATTATCTGACAATGGCGCAACAGACTCCCGTCCTCCCTCCTGGCTGGACAGCCCAGTGGTGAGTCTACAAGCGCAGCTGAGGCCCTACCGTCTGCCACGTTGGGCTGAGCCTCTCTCTCTGACTGACCTTCCTCCCCGCTCACTAGGGATCCACAAGCGGGTCGTACGGTCTACGTCGGTGAGTGGGCTTGGACAGGCTCGGCGTTCTCGCCTCTCTCCACATGGATCAATGTACTGATCTTCCACCCTTCGGCCCCCCTTGCCCCTTTGCTCACCTTCAGAGGCTTCCACCGGTCGCTCAAGCTGGCAGCCACCTGCTCCTCCCGGAGGCCGTCCAACCCACCCCCAAGGCGCAGCCAGGATGTCCATGCCACCCATGCAAGGGCCACCTGGCATGAGGCCCCCTATGGATTCCCCCGGATTCACGGGCGGTGACAGCTCTGCCTCTCCAGCCCTTTCTCCCGCAGCGCCGGGCATCCAGACTTCGAAGAGGAGAGCCTACCCAACTGCTCATCTCGCCTCCAACAGTGTCAGCTACAGCGGCGGCTTCGATCCTGGAGCCCAGCAGGCAGGTGGAGGATACGGTGGCCCTGGTAATGTAGCGTCCCCCATGGCTCCTATCGCCGAGACGCAAGGGCAGTACTTTACTCCTGGTGCCCCCGAGATGACTGCTCCCGTTGGCTACCAAGGAGGCCAGGCACCTGGAGCTCCTTACGGCAATGGTCAGGCAGGCGCCGGATATCAGGCTGGAGCAGGCGCAGGAGGGATGGGAGGACTTGCCAACCAGTTCGCCAACATGGGAGTGGGCGCCGGCATGGGCAAAGGGGTGAGTCTAGGCCGATGGAAGAATGCAAGTGGTAGTCTGAGTTCGACTGACCCAAGATCGCTGTCTGGCATTGCCCTACCTCGCTACTCTAGAACCCGCTCTACACCGTCAACCTCACTACGATGCAGCCAAATGTCAATGACATTGAGAAGGCGCCTCCAACAATTCAGCTGCCTGCCAATGCATGCGTCAGTCAACACCCGAAAGCGAATGCAGACCCTTCGTACCAGCGGTGCACCATGAATGCTGTGCCGACGACCTCATCCCTCTTGAACAAGTCAAAGTTGCCCCTAGGTATCGTGTTGTCCCCTCATCGCAGTGTGCGGGAGCAAGATGGAGACGAGCCGGTCCCGGTAGTTTCGGACTCTGTGATTGCAAGGTGTAGGCGATGCCGAACGTACATCAATCCCTACGTCCAATTCATCGAGGGAGGCAACAGATGGAAGTGCTGCATGTGCAACATTGCAAATGAGGTACCGCAACTCTTCGACTGGGATCAGGAAAAGAATCAGCCAGCAGATCGTTGGCAGAGGCCTGAGCTCAACCACGCCGTTGTGGAGTTCATTGCCCCTCGAGAGTACATGGTGAGTGGGCAAGCTGAAAAGTACAACAGCCTAAATGGCAGCCACTGACGAGGTTTGCCATCTGCTGTTGATCTATGTTACAGGTGCGACCTCCTCAGCCTCCTATCTACATCTTCCTCATCGACGTCAGCCACCAGGCCATGCAGAGTGGCATGGTCGCGACTGCTGCTCGTACCATTCTGGACACCCTGCCTCGTCTCCCAAACGAGAATGACCGAACCAAAGTCAGCATCGTTGCAGTGGACACCAGCTTGCACTTCTTCTGCCTCCCTCCTGGAGGCACCGAGCCCGAGATGCTCGTCGTCAGCGATCTCGAGGACGTTTATCTCCCCAAGCCCAACGACATTCTTGTCAACCTCACTGAATGCCGAGCTGGTATCGAAACGCTCCTCACCAGGATCAGTGACATGTTCAAGGACAACTCTGTTGCTGGCTCTGCACTGGGTGCAGGTCTGCAGGCGGCATACAAGCTTGCCGCGCCTACCGGAGGAAAGATCATCACCCTTACAGCAACTCTACCCAGCGTTGGACCCGGCGCGCTCAAGCGGCGAGACGATCCGAAGCTGCTGGGCACTGCTAAAGAGAGTACTTTGCTCAGTGCTGGATCTCAATTCTACAAGACCTTTCCAATCGACTGCTCACGTTCTCAGGTGTCTGTGGACATGTTCCTCTTCTCTGCCGCGTACACTGATGTGGCCACTCTCGCGTGTCTGCCAAGGTATACCGGTGGTCAGACGTACTTCTACCCGGCCTTCCATGCTGCACGCTCAGAAGATGCGGTGAAGCTGTCACACGAGCTCTCCCACGTGCTGTCCTCACCCATCAGCTACGAAGCTGTGCTACGACTGCGAGCTACAAAGGGTCTCAGGGCCATTGGCTTCCACGGTAACTTCTTTGTCCGGTCAACGGATCTCCTCGCACTCCCTGCTGTACCTCTGGATCAGAGCTACGCCATTGAGTGTGAGATCGAAGAGACGATCACTGCGCCCTTTGTCGTCTTCCAGTCTGTGGTTCTGCACAGTGCCAACAATGGCGAGCGAAGGATTCGAGTCTGCAATTTGGCCCTTCCTACGACGACTAGCATGTCAGAGGTCTATGCAAGCGCGGATCAAGTTGCAATTGCGACTCTGCTCGCCAACAAGGCGGTGGAGAGGTCTATGCACGCTCGCTTGGAGGACGCAAGGGACGCTCTGACGAATAAGCTCGTCGATGTGCTGACGACGTACAAGAGTACTATGACTGCAGCAGGTAGCGGTGCCTCTGCCCAGCTGAGCATTGCCAGCAACATGGCTCTCCTGCCGCTGCTCATCCTGTCACTGCTCAAGCACGTCGGTATTCGCGCCAGCTCCCAGATCCCTCCCGATTTGCGGGCCTACGCACAAGCACTCTTGACGACTCTGCCACCTCAACTCCTCGTACCTTATATTCACCCAAACTTCTACTGTCTCCACAACATGCCTGCTGATGTTGGAAGCATCCATGCAGAGTCTGGCGCCTTTGTCATGCCTCCGAAGCTCAATCTCACCTCGGAGCGGATGGAACGTCACGGACTCTACCTCATCGAGGATGGCCAGAACATCTTCCTCTGGGTGGGTCGAGATGCTGTGCCTCAATTGACCATTGACGTCTTTGACGCGGCCAATTACGCCGCTCTACGAGGCGGCAAGGTGGCTCTGCCGACTCTGGAGAACAGCATGAACAAGAGGGTGAATGCAGTCGTGGACCGTATCAGGACATCGAGAAGAGGTCCTTATCGCCCTTCTTTGTACATTGTCAAGGAGGATGGAGAGCCTTCATTGAGGCTGTGGGCCCTGAGCTTGCTGGTGGAAGATCGATTCGAGGCGGGACCTTCCTACTCGCAGTTCCTGGGCACCCTCAGGTCAAAGGTCAATGGTAGCTCTTAAGAGGGAGCTGGTGGAAAGAGTGTCCGCTTAGTCATGACTCGTGCGCTAGGCGCTGATAAAGAATGTCGCATGATTGTCGAATTGATACCGGAATACAAGCTGTGATGTCAGAGGGAGGTTGAGCAGTGGACGGAACACACGAGGAGGGGGAGAAGAGGAAGGGGGGGGAGGGGGGTAGGGCGGCGGGGTGGCCAGAAACGCATCGTGCTCCTTTCACATTCCTCCGGTGATTGAATGGAAGGAGTGGCAGTGGGAGTGGGGTGGGAAGTGGGAGTGGCAGGAAATGTACGTCTGTCCGCTGCTATCAATCAACCTAATGCGATCGATCGTTCCGCATCTCGCGATCTCCGGTCTTGAGCGCCACGACAGGTGCCAAAGCCGGTGTCAGCCGTCGGCCATTATCAATCGAGGCGAGGCGTTGCCACTGGGCAGCAAGGAAAGGCCTCGCCTGGAGGTCAGTAGCCATGGATTGGTTCGGCCGGCAAAAGAGATTGGTTCGCTACAGGGGATAATATGAACATCGATTCTGGTTGCGGCCATCGCCTCTTCGCCTCGGCTCGGCTCGGCTCGTCATGGAGAAGACTACGAAGCTGGTCGGCCGAGTAGGCAACGTGTGAGGCTGGGATTCGCCTTGCTAGACTAAAACCCCCCTCTCAGCCACCAGAAATGGAGAATACCGTCGTCGCCACCTCGCCTGTGGCATCGGATCTGCGATCTCGGATTCACCAAGATGCACTCTCACCCAGCTTGCTCAAGTCGGTTCGGCCAGCACCAGCAGCGTGATCGAGAGGCGAGGATGCTGCATAGGGTAACCCCGCTCATGGGTGAGCACGTTCGCTCGCGAGCGCCTCCTCAAAACGCGCCTGCACGCCACACTTGACCAATCAAAGGAAAAGGGCCTCCTCCCCCGCCGATCAGCTACACAAACGCAGGAACCTGTCCTGTACAGTCTTGCTGCCTGTCCACTCTCGCCAAGGCACAAGTGCACCCACCCTCTCTTGCTGCTCCTCTGTCGATGGCCATCGCGATGCTGGAGAGCTTCAATTCGGGTGCCGCGCCGTCCGAGCCGTCTTACGGCGGTGGGGCCGAGTGCCTCCCTCGCCTGATATTCCGAGTAGGACTTTTTACCCCGTGGAGCCTCCCTCTGCTCCCCTTCCCCTGGCTCGCCTTGTCCCCGCTGAACTGGACCATTTTGATTTTTTGTACCCTGTCTTGCGCTTTGCATGATAGAGAACGTGCTCCCACCTCTGGTTGACTTTCGACGAGCCCTATTGATCGTCTCTTGGCTTTCAGGGCACGGCACGGCAGGACAGGGCAAAGGCCGATGAGTGGCGGCAATGAGTGGTAGGAAGAAGTGAGAGGAAGAAAATGGTACAGTGCCCGAGTGCCCGACAAGGGAGAAGCTCATCTTTTCATGGTTCAGATCGTCCCATCACCGGACCTAACGCAGAGCAAAGAGTAAGGGCGGCATATTCAGGAACGAGTGGATTTTATAAGTAGGCACCCCTTGTCGTCTCCCGCTGCCCACCTTGACTTGTAGCCAGGCACCGTCCCTTACTCCTCCTCCTCTCCCTCTTCTTCGTGAAGCTTCCGACCCCTTGCCCTCTCCAAGACTTCCTCCTCACCCACACCCACCTCTACAGCAATGCCCTTTGGTGGTGATCTTGACGCCTACCAGGCCTCCGGGGCCTCGCCCCTGGCCATGCTCGAGAAGAAGCAAAGGAGCTTCCTCGGCCTCTCGTGGGGAGAGGTGAAGCTGCTGCTCATCACTGGAGCCGGTTTCTTCATGGATGCCTACGACTTGTTCATCATCAACATCATCTACGCCATCATCCTTGATGCCTACTACCCCGCTGGAACCGCAAACATCGGATGGGGACTCAAGGGAGGTGTGCTCAAGGCCTCGGCCAACATCGGAAACGTCATTGGTCAACTCATGTTTGGTTTCCTCGGAGATTACCTCGGTCGATCCGCCGTCTACGGCAAGGAGCTGGTCATTGTCATTGTCGCCGTCATCCTCATGATCTCTGCTCCCGACTACCTCGGCGGTGAGGGCATCACTGGCTGGATCGCTGGCTTCCGTGTCCTGATGGGTATTGGAATCGGTGGTGACTACCCCATGTCCGCCGCCGTCGTCTCGGACCGTGCCCACCTCAAGAAGCGTGGTACCTTTATCGCCTGGATCTTCTCCAACCAGGGATGGGGAACCCTCGTCGGTGCCGTCCTTGCCGTCATTGTCATTGCCGGTTACAAGGACGATGTCGAGGCTGGTGACCGCCACAAGCTTTCCGGCGCCTGGAGGATCCTGCAGGGTCTCGCCCTGGTCCCCGCATTCGCCTGCCTCTACTTCCGTCTGACCCTGGTTGAGTCGACGCGTTTCACCCAGGCTCGTGCCATCCAGGATGACCCTGAGCTCCTGCAAAAGGCATCTGCCAAGGGTGTCGTCGTCGGTGAAATCTCCTCCGAGGAGGAGCTCGCCCTCGAGAAGGCTGGCGGTGACGTCGCCCCCATTGCTCTGCAGAATGAAGCCGTCGGCCTCAAGCTCACCGGCAAGGTCGGCAAGAAGCCCAAGAACGAGTTCATCGAGTACTTCTCCGAGTGGCGCCACCTCAAGACCCTCATCGGATGCTCCCTCTGCTGGTTCCTCGTCGACATCACCTTCTACGGTATCAACCTCAACCAGTCTTCCATCCTTGCCGCCATTGGTTTCACAAAGGGAAACACCTGGTCCAAGCTCATGAAGACTGCCACTGGTAACCTGATCATCACCTGCGCTGGTTACTTCCCAGGCTACTTCTTGACCATCGCTCTCGTCCAGCCTCTGGGTCGAAAGCCCATCCAGCTGCTCGGGTTCCTCATGAACATGGTCTTCCTCGGTATCCTCGGTGGCCTCTTCAACCACCTCAAGACAGAGACCGGCCCCTTCTTCGCCGTCTTCGTTTTCCTCCAACTTTTCTTTAACTTTGGAGCGAATGCTACCACATTCATTATCCCCGCCGAAGCGTGAGTATCTCATCTGGAGGTGTAACAGGTGTCTTACGAGTCGTAGAGAGCTTTACTGACCATCGCAGCACCTGGTATCGCCCTTCCCGCACAGATTCCCGACGCGCGTGCGCGCTTCCGCACATGGTCTGTGCGCAGCCACCGGAAAGCTGGGCGCCATTCTCTCCTCGCTTGGCTTCTCCGCCATTGCCACCTCGCACGGCCAGGAGCTCGTCTTCTGGGTCTTCTTCGGTGTCTCTGGTCTGGGCTTCATCATCACCCTCCTCCTCGTACCAGAGACCAAGAACTACGATGCTGATGAGGTCGACCGACAGGAGCTCGCGGAGAAGCTTGGCTACCACCCAGGTGCTCACGAGCCTCAAAACCCCATTGCCATTGCTGAGCAGATCAACCACAGTTAGATTGGGCCATGACTCTCATTAGGAGTTGAGCCTATCAAGCTTGTGTAAGATGATTGCCTACTCCAAGCCGGAGTGGCTGCTGCCCGCATGGTATACCCCTGTTTTTCGCAGGACATGTGTTTCTATTTGATTGGAATTCCATTCTTTCTCATCCGATGCAGTGATATTGCCCGGTCTGACTCCCACTCTGTTTCTCACTCCACCCGTCTCTCGCCGAATCGGGTGTGATGAGACTACCAAGCAAAGCGGAGCAGATCGGAAGATCGGCGTTCTCCCCGAGTAAGTGTTCTGCCAGAGTACTCTCGTACCACAATGTTCTGGTTCTGCCATCCGCGGGCCGACTCTACCTGTCCGAGAGCAAAGCGTACGACGGACGAGCGGACACACGCGGGTGGGACGTATGCGGGTGCGCAAGAGGGCAGGAGCAAACCAATCAGTATCCGCTCAATAAGCAGCCGCGGTATGTGACTGAGCAGGGCTAGAACCATCGTCCGTGGCGTCACATTGCGGTCGAGCTGGAGGGTGCAGCACTAGTCTTGGCTAAGGCAATGTGCTGAGCTCGAGAAGAGATAAATACTCCCCCCCTTTCCCCCACTCACTCTCCCTTCCTTCCTTGCTCACCATTCGGTCACCTCCCTCGCCAGCCATCTGCCCTACTGCTCCTCCCAATTGTACTCTACTACTCCTACTCTCCTACCACTGCAAGGACAGACAGGTGAGTCAAAGTGTCGTGCATGCAGAGGCGAGAAACAGGCAAGCCATGATTGCCTCACTCCTTTCTCAACGCACCTTCCACCTCTCTGACTCACACCTCACCACCACAGCACTCTTTGACTACCATAGCATTGACCGTCGAGCCACAAGTCTCCCACAATCTCACTGCTGTACCCAAGGCCCAGACTATCCTCGCCCTCAAGACGCCGACCACATGCTCATCCAGACGAGCAACGACCCACTGCATCGCAGTGCCCTCACAGCAAGTGAAGAATCAATGAGACCAGCGCAACAATATCGTTCAACATAGCTGCAATTAGTGAGTGTGCACCATACCTCCTTCTCATCACCACACCGTTGCTCATTGCACACATCGAACACTTCACGACGATCTATCCAGGTACTATCAGGACAAAGCATACACTCTATAGAGTAGATTCTCGCAGTCGACCTTTCATTCAACGTCGAGCACCTACAACATGTGCAATGGCAAAGACACACAGATCAAACACAACGCAGATGTAGACACTTTCGTGAGTAATGATCGAGAGGCTAATGCGACATTCGCACTGCTTTCATCGTCAACTACCGACCACGGTCTTCAATAAGCACTGACACTCCTCACTCGCCCTTTCTTCTTCCCTCATCACTGTCCTCATCTGATCAATGACATCGATCGAAAAAGGTCCTAACCTCTTTGCGCTCATCGGTACCCTTGCTACCTACAACGCTACGCGCAACGCCTCAGTAAACAAGCTCAACGTCACGATGGCTACGGTCTGCGCGCTACGCTCTTTGTCACACCCAATGACCTTGCTCGACCTCTTCCTGTCACCTTCAAGGGTTGTCATCATCTGTCTTCGTTCATACGAATCTGCCTCATAACGGCACGATTATCAACACTGCGCTGGCTATTGGTACAACAATGATCACCTCGGCACATTCTCTTTCGGTCATGTCACCCCGACCACTTCGATTCACGTATCTCTGGCCCATGCTCGTTGGCCTGATACTCACTCTCAGTACTGTGTGGGCCCACACGAGACAATGTCTGGAGTCCTAGTCTGCTCGAGGAGTCGACTACCATGAGACAGTGGAGCACGAGACGTTTCGTCATGCTAGTCGAGCGATGGGCGGCGCTCGCGCTTGCCCATGAAGAGGTCAAGAGTGCGCACCTGCTCTCCATAGAACAATTGGCGAGGCCAAGGCGAAGCTCAGCAGAAACAACAGCAAGACTCCGCACCGTACCCAGCCAGATCCGACGTCAATGAGTTCGCACGCGCAAAGGTCTCCTCGGTCTGCGTGCCCGGGATGTGGCTCTGAGAGAAGAGGGCGAGGATACCCTGCAGGAGCGTCAGAGTCGCATTTTTGCAACTCTGATGTCTCTAGATCTGCAGCGACGTCCCTCTCAATGCCCTCACTGCCGAGCGACCCTCTCTGAGACGGTGCAATATGGTATCTCCTCCGGCCAGCCCAAGCTCATCGACCCGCACGTCGTCTCCGTGGATGCCATTACACCACGAGCACACGGCGGGAGGTACACAAGGGAGAACATCGCCTTTGTCTGCTGGTCCTGCAGCGTGGCCAAGGGGCACGGCTCGGTGGCGGCTCTGAGGTCGTTTCTCCTGGCACTCAAAGAGAGGGCGGTCATTGGCTCTGGAAGGTTTCTTGCTGTGGACCCGCCTCGGCGGACGGCCCTCACTGAAATGGATAGGCAATACATCCAAGAGTGGGCAGACCGTCAACACCAACGAGTCCTCAATACCGTGGCAAACAATCCGCGCAAGGCAGGAGATCTGTCGGTCGGAGACATTGTTGAGCTAGGTTGCGCAAGGTACATCGGCCAAGGCAGGTACCTGGACCCGAGTGGCCTGTCCCTGCCTCTTTGGGCAGGCTCCCTCGACCGGATCGACCCTGGAGGAGGATACGCTCTTTCAAACGTACGAGCGCTCCACACCGTGTTCAATCGGATCAGGATGGACGCACCTGATGATGCCCCGATCAAGCAAGTGATCGCGCACCTGAAGGCTGCCGACCTCGACGATGCGGACGCCCCAGTGGAGATGCTGGGTGGTGAGCAATTCAGGAGGTGACTGGCTAGAGGTCAAGCAGGTGGACCTTTTACAGCTTCGAACAGGAACCGGAGCCGGCTTCGCCTGTCGTGAATCCAATCCGCCCTTCCGCATCTGATTGTCATGTACGCTGTAACACTACACTTCACTACCTGTAATGAATTTACCAAAGTACCCACAGGTACGGTACGACCTTGACACTTTCCCTACGGTTGCTCTGACTCTCTGTGCATCCTCTGATCTTCTATCTCGAGCTGGCTTAGGTGATTCAACGTCTTGACAGGGTTCATCAGTACGATGGCCGGACACAGGCTCGTCTGTGCCCAGCTTCCTGACCCCTGAGAGTAGAGCGAACTGTCCTTCAGAGTAAATTGGTCTACAACCTTTGCACCTGGTACCAAAGTTCACGTTTGCACATTCCCACGTCTGATGCTGTCTTGTGGCCGCTCGTGGCGTGAAACTGAGTGCGGAGCCGTAGACCGTCAAAGAAAGAGAGCAAGGCACACTTCGCTGCGGAAGCTACAATGGGTCTCCTGTGCCACGCCTGATCTGCCTTTCCTGTTAACTTCAACTCATCTGTCAACGTTGACGGAGTGGACTGGAGGCAGTGCAAGCTGCCTATGACAAGGCCTGCTAGAGGGAGTCCAGCTACGTGCCCCTTGGCGATGCCCAAGGGACAACCTCGGCGATGTCCCCCCTTGGCATTTCTCACGCCCGCGCGAGATTTGCCTGTGGGCCTGGGTCTGGCGTTGCCACTAGGAAACCCACCTGCATTCCTTGAGAAGCGAGCGCACGCTGACCGACCCGCACGCACGCTTCTGTTTTCACGGTGTGGTTTTGGCTGTCTGACTGCCCCTTTCAGTTGCCTCGCTTGCGCTCCTCGGGTTGTGGCTGGCACACACACACTTCTATGGGGCCATTCGAGGGCGTGATGCAAAGGCCGCTGGTGCCCTTGCTTGCTTGCTTGCCTGTCGAGCAAGTTTTTGAGATGCCGTCAAATTGGGAAGCGTGGGGCCACGGGCTGGGCCGCACCACCCACGAGCTCTAATCGGGTCGGGGCGGAGCAGGGACGAGGCATCAGAGGACAGGCAGGCAGCGCCAGGGCGGGTCGCCGGCGCGCCGTCGCCTGTGCTGCTTGCACCCACCCGCGCCCACCCGCACGCACTCACGGGCTTCGACATGGCGCGCCCGCCACCGAGGCGACGAGGCTGGGCCAAGGCTATTCTCGGCAGAGGACAAGGGCAGAGGCCCAGCAGCGCTGCCACGCCCTCGCACACACACAAGCATTTCTCAAGAAGAACACGGCCGCTCACCAATCCCATCCTCCCCCTTTCCCCTCCTCACGATCCACCACTTCCACTCCTCTCCATCGTCACCCAACCTCGACACCTCACACCGCACCCCTCCCACCTCACCAACACCCACCGCCATGTCCACAGCCGTCGCGTCCTCGGCCACCCAGGCCACCAACCGGGCACCCTCCAAGGCACCCACCATCAACATCACAAAGCAGAGCGACGCACCTGCATCAAAGGGAACCAAGATGTCCCACCGACAGGCAAAGTCCTACAAGAAGGAGGACCTCAAGCAGTTCAACGTACCCGACCTCACCGTCAAGGACCTCCTGTCGGCCATCCCAAAGCACTGCTTCGAGCGCTCCGCCCTCAAGTCCTCGGTTCACCTCGCTGGCGACTTTGCCATGATCGCAGCCCTGGGATATGCCGCTAGCTACATCGACCCCTCTGTCAAGTCATTCGACTTTGGCACCACACCCCTCGCACCCTACATTAGCGCAGCTGCCCAAGCCTCCATTGCGCGCTTCTCTGCATGGGCCCTCTACACCTTCTGCCAGGGTCTCGTCATGACCGGTGTGTGGATCATCGCCCACGAGTGTGGTCACCAGGCTTTCTCCGAGTCCAAGACGATCAACAACACCGTCGGCTGGTTCCTTCACAGCGCTCTCCTGGTACCTTACCACTCCTGGAGGATCTCCCACGCCCGTCACCACGCTGCCACTGGACACTTGACCCGCGATGAAGTCTTTGTTCCCCGCACCCGTGCCATGAAGGGACTCCTTCCCCTCAGGCCCGCCGCATCCGACTCTGATGCCGAGGACGAGCAGGCCATCGAGCAGAACCTCGAAGGTAGCGAGAACCCCGAGTCTATCCCCGCTTCCAGCGTCCTCGCCTCTCACGAAGAGGAGGAGACCTGGGGCGAGTGGCTGCACGAGCTCCTGGAGGACGCACCTGCCTACAACTTCATCTTCCTCGTGGTTCAGCAGCTCCTCGGGTGGCCCATGTACTTGATCAAGAACTCTTCTGGTCAGCTGCACTTCCCCAAGGGAACCAACCACTTCAACCCAGACTCGATCATCTTCGACAAGCGCCACCGCTCTCAGATCATCATGTCCGACGTCGGTATTGCCTTGACCATCTCTGCCTTGGCTTACGCTGTTTCGCAGACCAGCTTCGGCACAGTGATGAGGTACTACGGCTACTCGTACCTGTGCGTCAACCACTGGCTCGTGATGATCACCTACCTGCAGCACACCGACCCTCTGCTGCCTCACTACTCTGCCGAGGCCTGGACTTTCCCTCGCGGCGCCCTCTGCACCATTGACCGCAAGTGGCTCGGCCCCATTGGTCCCTACATTCTGCACGGTATTGCCGAGACCCACGTTGCACACCACATCTCGTCGAAGATCCCGCACTACAATGCTTGGGAGGCCACCGAGGCCCTCAAGGAGCGTCTTGGAGAGCACTACCACTGCACCGATGAGAACGTCTTTGTGAGCCTGTGGAAGACGGTGACGAACTGCAAGTTCATCGAGGAGAACGAGAAGGTCTCTTTCTACCGCAACGCTCACGGTGTGCCCCAGGTCGTCGCTGCTGAGAAGGAGCTCGAGTCTGACTCGGGTCTGGCTCTGAGCGAGTAAAGAGTGCAGTAGCCCATAGCGACGCTTCGGCGCTCAGACAGCGCTTTTTGCGGCTCACTCTCGCCGTGTCGGCCTACGAGCACGGTGCGACAAGTGCAAAGCGATGCTTGCCTCGACCATAGATAGCTCTGTCACATAGAGAGCTCTTCGTCACCTTCACGTCAACACATACACATGCACTGTTCCCTATTTTTCCAAGCACGCGTCACCACATCAAGAAGAAGATCTCCAAGACGGACTCTCTCATTCTTCCTTGCATTCCTCTCTATTCACATTCATTCCTTCTCTTCTGTCTTTCACCGTCGTCCCTCCTCACCACTTCTTTTCTATCATTCTTTAAGTTGTCGAAGCGGTGCGGTGCCAATGCACAAAGAAAGTCCGATCGATTTAGATGGGCAACGATCACAAATGACAAATGAGATCTTTATTCCTTGAGTCCATTGCCTGCGTGTCGACCTGTACTCCCCGGTCCGAAGGGCAGCCGTGGCTCACGTTCCTCATCGAAAGTGCACGAGGGTCCGCTTGCGCGTGTGCTTGTCCTTGTCCTTGTATGGATGTCACTCTCACCTTGTCATCTCCAGTTCCCCTCTAGCCTCTCCTGTCATCTGTCATGAACGTACAGTCACCCCTGCCTTGGATCCACAGCCGATACAAAGCCGAAAAGGGGGCGTAGACTAGACTAGGACTCCGACGCATGCACACGCCTCGCCTCCCCCGCGTTCCGCGTGATGCGATGCGGGGAAAGTCTAACATGGACGGAGAGGAGGTGGGCGGTCAGGAGGGGGCTCGTTCCTTCAGACAGACAGACTGGTGAGAGGTTTCCGCATCCTGAATGTTCATCTTGCTTTCCAACCATATCTAGCGCCTGCTGTATGCTTCTTATCCCTCCCCCCACAGCCTCACGTCTATAGAGGTCCTCGGCTCACCGACCTCCGACTAGTGAGCTGAGCACGGCCCCTTTCCGGGTGTGCAGTCTCCTTCGCACTTCCTGCTTACTTCGGTTCATATACAGAGGAGTGGATAATGGCAGTGCTACGGTTCTCTCTTCCCTCCTCCTCCTCCTCCTCTGTGGTCGCTTCTGGCCAGGCGGGTCGCTCGAGGCTCACTGCTGCTGCCTTGCCGTCAGCTGCGCTAGTCCCTCATCGTGCTGCCCACCAATCGCGTGCGGCGAGTAGCAGCCGAACAAGCACATCGTGGAGCTCCTCAGAAGCTCGATATCGGACCTCCTTACTCACGAGGCCAGGGCAAAGCTACAAACCGCAGGGCCTCCTTATTCGCCCTACCCCTCGCTCCCGCTCCTTCTCAAGCACCCCTCACCCCTCACGCACCCTCCAGTCCCTCCCCCTAGCCGACATCGGCGAAGGCATCAGCGAAGTCGAAGTCCTGCAATGGCACGTCCGTCCTGGCTCCTCCATCGAGGAATTCCAACGCCTCTGCGAAGTACAGAGCGATAAAGCCTCAGTGGAGATTACTAGTCGCTATACGGGTGTGGTGGAGAGGTTGGGGGCCAAGGAGGGGGAGGTCATGAAGGTTGGTGGGGAACTTTGTGCGATTTGGGTTGAGGAAGGGGAGGGAGAAGGGGAGCAAGCTGGAATGGTGCAGGTAGAGGAGAAGGAGCAGCCGTTGCAGCAAGTTGCTGCGCATACTAGTAGTCCTCCTGAGCAGACCTCTGCTCCGACAAGGCGGCCTCACCCGCTCGATGACAATGTGGATAAGGCGGCTGCTCTTTCCACTTCCTCCTCCTCCGCCTCCTCTTCTCGCGAAGCACAGCCTCGGCCCACTTCCCGGCAGGAGCACCTCCAAACTCTTGCAACTCCAGCCGTACGCTGGCTGTGCAAGGAGCACAATCTTGATCTGGCGCAGATTGCTGGCACGGGGAAGGAAGGCAGGGTGACAAGGGAGGACGTGCTTGTCCATCTAGGCAGGATACAGAGGGGCGACAATGGTGCTAGCTCGAGCAGAGGCTCAGTGGACTTGGATGGGGACGACGCGGGAGACTTCCACCTCAGAGGCAAGGACGTGCCGGGTGAGAAGAGCCTCGCAAGCGACAACGTTCAGACGCGTGCAAGCCTTGCGTCTGCTTCTACTGCCTCGACGAGCGCTACGGCAGACAGGGCTGCACCAGCCTCCCAGCCTCTGACGGGTATCCGCAAGGCAATGTTCAAGTCACTGTCCCTCTCCACTCATATTCCTCACTTTACCTTTTCCGAGGAGCTAGACGTGACGGATCTGGAGGCTTTGCGGCTGAAGATCAACCGCGGCTTGTTGCTACGGCAGGCAGCAGCAAGCAAAACACAAGGGCAAGAAGTGGGAGAAGAAGTAGCAGCAGCTCCACAGAAGCTCACGCTTTTGCCGTTCCTGCTCAAGGCCCTCTCACACGCCATGAGCTCCCACCCGCTCTTCAGAAGCAAGCTCTCCCTCCCTTCTTCTTCCTCTTCCTCCTCCTCGGACACACCCACCGAACGCTACTCATCCCTCGCAAGTTCCGCCCGCCTAATCGGTCCACGCAAATCACACGATATAGGCTTTGCCCTGAGCACTCCCTCTGGCCTCCTCACCCCCGTCATCCGCGGCGTAGAGGAGCACTCCGTACAGGATTTGGCACGCGAGTTGAGTAGATTGCAGAATTTGGCCAGGAGTCCTTCAGGACTGAGCAGGGTAGACCTCGAGGGCATGAGCGGCCCATCTGCGGGCATAGAAGGGGGCACATTGATCCTGAGCAATATCGGCTCGCTCGGCTGTGGGACAGGCGCCTCACCTGTGCTTCCACCCACGGGAGAGCTGGCGATAGGAGCGGTATGCGCCGTCAAGAGGGGTTTCCGCTGGTCGGACGACCCCTCTCTGGCCTTCTCTACCACTTCAACACCACTCGCTACAGCTACAACACTGACGACACAGGAGCCTTACATGGTCCCTCGTCTGCTCGCGCCGGTGACGTTTGCGGGAGACCATCGAGTCTTGCAGGGCACGGAGCTGGCTGCGTTCGTGAAAGAGTGGAAGTGGTGGGTGGAACATCCAGAGATGTGGGTAGCGATGGGAAGATGAGTCACCGCAGGGCGGGTAGATCCTTGCCATGTCATACAAGACGAGGGGAAGTAAACATTGGCATTATTTGACATTGATTGAATGCGCTCGGGAGAAGCTATTGACAACAGTACAAAAGAAACGTTCTTCTCATCGCCCATCCGCATCCTCCTACTCCTCCTGGAAGACGATCAATCCAGACGCTCGCTCCCCGCCTCCATTGGTAGTCGCACCCCCTCCCCCTCCCGCTTCCCTTCTCTGGCCACTCCCCTGCATCAACCACCTCTCCGCCAATCTCCTTCCCGCTTCCGTCGGTTGGCTGAACGCAACGACATTTCCCTTTCTCCCACCAAATTGTCGCAAGAGGGCCTCTGCATTCTGCCCGTACACCGAGTGCTCCAGTACGGCATCGAGGAGGCGGCTGCCCACGCCAAGACGACGGAGAGAGGGGAGGACGTAGATGCGGTGTACGCCTAGGATTGGGGCCGGCTGGTATTTGGGAAGGGGCTGAGAGGAGAGGAAGATGGCGTCTCCTGAGCTGGCAAAGGCCTGAGAGGTCGAAGTGGCGGTGGAATTCGAATCGACGTCCTTGCCCTCAGCGCTGGACTTGCTGCCGTTATCGGTGCCTTCTGCGATGTCTACTACCCTCCGAGCCGAGCCTGGAGGTACAGCTCCCGTAACGGCCGCTCCCACCACCCTGCCTGCGACGATTGCGAGGAACATTTTGGGTCCGCGACGTCTCCTCGTCTCCTCGTCAAGAGGTGCCGCACCAAGGGCTTCATCGACGGTAGTGCTGACCTCCTGGAGCTTCTTGGCGACCAGATGATCCGCTTGCCCTGCATCCGTCGAGATTGCTCCACCAGCTGTCCCGGTAAAGGAGTAGCGCAAGATACGAAGAGGGACCGTTGCGCCATTGTTCTTCTTTTTGCCCGAAGAAGTAGGCGAGGCGGCCAAGAGTGCATCCAGCTCATCCATGGCTCCACCTGCGCCACCCATTTGTGGAGTGCTCTGGTTGTCCCGTCGCGCAGCGACCGTCAAAACTCCCTTTCCCAGCGCCCTGACCAGGCTAGCCTCTGGCAAGCTCCCTACATCCACCACTTCTCCCGCTCTCAGCAGGTTCTTGCCAGTCCACTCTACCCCTCGCGTGACGCGATCGTGGTGTCGGACATGCAGAGCCATGTCTTCTGGGGAGGATCTGTCGTAGGACATCTGACACGCAGTGCACGTCACCTGCAGCTTCTGACCTAGGTCCAGGATGAGTTGCTCGCCGGCGCCGTTGCTGTGGCTGTTGGCACTAGATGTCGATGCAGAGCCAAAGGGGAGACGAGCTTGCTGCTTTCTGCTCTTCGAGGCTAGCGGACTGCTATGAGTACGAAGGGGGGAAGAGGCACCGCCGAGAAAGTCTTCGCTCCCCTCTTCTCCCGTCTGTAGACTTGAATCTCCCCCCTCGGCGAGTCGTCGCTTTTGATATCGAGCATTGCTACCACCATACGAAGCCGATCGCTTGGACGATGAAGAGAGTGCTGCTGAAGGGGCTGTCGGCTCTGCTGCGGCTGTTGCTTTCTTCGGTGTGCTGTCGATCCCGTTGCCGTCTGTGGTACACCAGAAGTGGGAGATGGGGAGGGCAGGCGAGGAGGGACAGACAAGAGATAAGTTGTCAACATTGAGATTCTCCATGTATAGAGGACGACGGAGGAAGGTCTACGTACAGATCCCAGACGGCTGCTTTTCCGCATCGTGCATTTCCACATCTCCATCCCCGCCATTGCTCTGATTGCGACTGCCAATGCGCTGCAGCTGTGCACGGATGACCTCGAGCTGAGACGCGACCTGACCATCGTTGCCTCGATCACCTAGATGATCGGCAATGTGTGGCAATGCACCCTGACCCAATCGGAAGAGGTACGCAAAGTCTCCCAATGTCGAGACGGGCAGCGCAGACGTTGTGCGCTCGGCTTGGTGCTGTTTGGTAGCCTCGGCAAATTCTCGAGAAATGTCACTGGCGCGATCGCAGATCTCGCGAGGTACACCAGCCAGACCTGCAACCTGGGTTCCGTATGAGGACTCGGCCACGCCGTTGACGAGTCGGTAGGTAAAGACGACCTCTCGTCGCTCATCATCGACCAAGACCTCCATATGCTTGTTTGCGCAGCGTGGATAGCCTTCGAAGTCGTATGCCAATTGCAGGTAGTGAGTCAGAAAGAAGGAGAGACAGCGAGTCCTTGCAATGATGTGGTGCAGAACAGCGTGAGCGATGGCGTGACCATCAAAGGTGCTTGTGCCCCTGCCCAGCTCGTCCATGATGACAAGAGAGCGAGGTGTGCAATCCTTGATGATACGGCTGGCTTCCTGCATCTCGACCATGAAAGTAGAGCTTCCCTTGAAGATCTGGTCGTTGGCGCCCATGCGGGTGCAGATGCGGTCTACGGGCGCCAGAGTGGCTGAGGCAGCAGGGACTCGGCAACCCAGCTGCGCCAAGATGACACCAGTGGCAGTAGTCCTGGCCGTCGTACTCTTTCCTGCCATGTTGCCTCCCGTCAGCAGGATGACTTCCGCCGAGTCGCCGCCCATCTTGACGTCATTGGCGATGAAGTCGGTCGATCCGGCAATGCAAGGATGTCGCAGCTCTTCAAAGGCGACGACAGCTCGCTCGCTCTCCACAAATGTTGGTCTGCAGGTGGGTTCGCCCATTGCATATGAGGTCTGAGCTAGGCTGAGCAAGCAGTCGACTTCGCCTACAGCTCGGACCGCTGACAAGTACGTCTTCGCATTGGCATTGAACATTTCGAAGAGACGTGCGTGAAATTCCTTGAGGGCAGCAAGTCGGGTCTCTCGAGACTCCTTGAGAGTCAGTACTAGCGACTTGACTTCAGGCGGGTAGTAGCCTTTAGCGTCGTTCGTAGAGGAGATCTCGAGCCAGTCGTTGGGAACCCTTGTGTTGCGAGGGACTTCAATCTGATAGATCTCATTGGTTCCCTTGTGCTTCCAATTGCAGCCGCCCTTCTTAGTGGCACCAAGCTTGAGCTTCTTTCGGGCGGACCTGAGCTCATCTTCGAGCTGCTCATGAACACCCTCAACGAGCGTCTGAGCCTCGTCAAAGGCTTCGTCGACACCTGGCTGAGGCTGGAATGAGCCGTCTTCTTCAGCAATGAACATCGAGTCGATCTCGTTGGCAAGCGTGGCGACATCGGGAACAGAACTTAAGAGCCCTCTGAGCAGTTTCGACCGGAAGTCGTGGCCTTCGGCCATCTGAAGTAGGTTCTCAATCTCTGGCGTCAGCTTCTTGAAGCTGCTTAGCAGGCGGGTGAACTCGCCGGGACGAATTTTGCCAGAGTGGACCTTGGGGATTAGCCGCTCAAAGTCAGGGAAACCTCTCATTCGGGAGAATGCATCCTCGAAGTCAGAGTTGCCCAGAAGATCGTCAACAGCGTCCAGACGCTCCTCGATGGCTTTGGCTTCGGAGAGAGGGTGGGTGAGCCAAATCTTGAAGAGTCGCTTGCCGCAAGGAGTGATGCATCGGTTGAGCAGTCGATGGAGTGTGCCCGTGTCAGAGCCATCCTCATTCTGGAGGACACACAGGTGGCTCAATGTGTTTGCATCCAGCTTCATTGGCTGGCCAGCAGCAGAGCGTCGAGCGTCGAGGACGTTGAAATTCTTTGAAGATGCTACGTCACCGAGAAGTGAGAGCTGGGTGAGGTAGGCAAACATACCTCCCAAAGCGTTCATGGCTTCGGCCTTGTCGAGCATCGCGCTGATGGCTTGAGGGAGCTCTGCCTTGCCCTCACCAAAGAGATCCTCCAGCTGAGCGTCTGTGGCTTCGGCGTCGAACCATTCTTTGCCATCTCGAAGCATGGTGATACGGCAATCTGCGCCAACGCAGTTGCGGATGATCCGCGATGTGCTCTTGGACAGCTGTCCCTTCTTGTGAATGATTTCCTTGACGCGGAGAGATCGTAGAAGAGTCTCAAGCTCGCTTCGTGCTTGGTCGTCAGCCCATTCCGACAGACTAAATTCGCTCGTGGCTGCGTCAAGCATGCAGACTCCGAAGGCGACGACCTCTCTGCCGTCTTCGCCTTCTGTAACGGTCTCGGTCAAGGCCAAACAGTAGTTGGCGAGGTCGTCTTCGAGCCCCTCGATCATTGTACCTGTCGTCATGACATGTCTGTTGTAAGGAAAGGGGAAAAACTCGCGATGAGTCGCATGGAAGGTGAGTCACTCCTTCCGTCAAGCCAAGTATATACACTCACCTGAGCTCTCGCCTGACGATATCAGTCCCAACCCCCTTTGCCTTGTCCTTGTCTTTCCGCATTCCCAAACCGACTGCAGTTTCCATCTGATCGACCCTGCCAATCTTGTAGCCCAAGGCGAGCAGCTTGGACGCAAACATGTCAAAGGAAGCCTCGGGTACTCCGACCATTGGCATCCTTCCTCGATCCGACAGCTTCAAATCTAGCTCTCGATGGACAATGTATGCGTCCTCGAGGAACATTTCGTAAAACTTGCCCTTTTGGCACATGAGGATAGTGTCCATGTTCCATTGCTTGATTTCAAAGTACTGCTTTTCGAATTTTGACATTGTGCTCCAGGCGTTGTTTGGGATGTACAGCGTCCTCGGGTCATAGTCGGCGTCACCTGGGCGATTCTTGTCCATGTCTCTGCGGTCATTGAGAAAGGCGAATTCAGTCGAGCCACCTGCGGGCTTAGGCGTGCCGTCTTCACCTGGAGAGGCTCGGCTGTTCGAAGTGGCTGAAGTTGAGGCTCGTGCAAAGGGAGGACGAGACACCGGAGGTGGCTTGGAAGATGATGCAACAGCGGAGGGCCGCGAAGCGGCTGCTTTTGGCTTCTTTGCAACCGGGGCAGCTGAGTGGCGGCTGCGTGAGGGTGGAGCTGGTGACATGGATGCGTCTGAGAAGGCTTCATCGTCATCATCGTCGTCGTCCGCCTCAAAGTCAGATTCACCATCACCTTCCGAGCCCGACTCGAAGTAGGCAGGACGCTTCTTGGCTACTCGCTGTGAGTGAAAAGGAGCCCAATGTCAGCATATATGCGCTTCCGGATCGCTTGCTGGCCAATTGATTCTAGCACTCACTCTGCTGGAGGAAGGCATGACATCTTCTTCATCAAGGCCCTCGTCTTCAAGCAGCTGCGCAGTCGCCGGACTGCTGCTGGGGGGTGTTGGCTGCCCGGACCCAGCGTTCACCCCAACCAGACCACGACTGGCTGACTTGCTACCTTCACGGCTGGGTCTACTTGCTGATGCAGGCTGCGTGGGGCTCTTGAAGGGACTGCTAGTACCTCCTGTTGAGGCCGAGGGCGTGCCAATCTTCTTGTTAAAGGGGGTATCATTGCTGATTCGAGGTGCTACGGGCGAGACGGATCGTCCGGAGGTAGAGGAGGGTGGAGAGGGAAAGGCAGTCTTGGTCGAACTGGAAGCAGCAGAGGTCTTTGACGAAGAAGCGACAGTCTGTGGAGGCTTCTTGACGGTCGGTGCCTGAGTCACCTTGTCCATTACAGGCGCTACTCTGCTCGCAGTGTTCTTGCCAGCATCAGCTGTGCTACTAGCCTGGCCCCGGGCAGGTGCTGGGCCATCGACTTTCCTGAAGAAGCCGAGCAGAGTGCCCTTGCCGCCTGCAGGGGAAGAGGCTTTGCCAGCACCACTGCTGCCTCTAGGAGTGGACATTGCGAGGTGCTGGGTAAGGGGGGTGATGATGGCCAGCGATGGATGGCTGGGAGGGGCAAGGACACGAATGTCATTGGTCGGGCTCAACGCTCAAATGGACGCGACCGTGTCTTCGCGCACCTCGACGGAAAGAGCCACGCAGAGGTCGCGGGGGCGCTCGACGCGAGCACTCCGGTCTCGCAGCCAGTCGGCTCATCTGTCACTTTTGGTCAAACGCAACGTGATGAAAGACAGCATGTGTGGGCATTGACGAGATGAAGGAGGAAAGCAGAGCATGAGATCGAGCTACCCACGGCCGGACAAAGGAAAGAGGTGGCGGCGAGAGCCGGTCCCGCACTACCTTTGGTCTTCCACCTTGGCCGCCCACACAGGAGCCCCTTCCGCCATCAAAGAGTCATATGTACAAAGGCACACGCGTTGTTTGCGCTTCTCAGAATCCACCCAAAGCCCCTTCATCTTCTATTTCTGTCTCTTCTCTATCCCTCGTCATTCGTATCCGACTGCTGCTACCGCTTCTTGTCGAGGAGGATCCGGAACCAGATCGGCTGCTCTTTGAGCCATGTCGCTTCCTTGATGGCATCGGCTCTTCGGTATCCGGAGAGGGGGACGGAGAGTGCGAGCCACTTCTGCCTCCTTCGTCTTCTTCTCGGCCTGTGGACAGAGAACTCTTCCTTGAGCAATGGCCAGGCCGAGATGATCTTCGTTCCCGTCTCCCACCTTCACCGCTCGTTCGGCATGCCTCTTCGCCGAAGGATGACGAGAGAGAAGATTTACGTCTTGGCTTGCCAGCGCCAGACGCGCTGAGCCTGGATGTTGAGGCGACACCGTCTTCGTCGGCTGAAGTGCATCCAGACGATATGCAGCTGCTGCTCGAAGTCACGTCTCCGCTACGATCCACAGAGCTGCCGCCGGTGCCAGCCATCTCGGCCTCGAGGCGGGTGAGCGCTGATCGAAGCACGGACTTCTGGGGTCCTGGCAATAGCAAAGAGGTGCCGTCTCTGCTGTGGGTCATGGCCTCACCAGAGACGTCTGCATCATCGACAGCAGGCACCGTGAAGAAGGCAGACTGCATCATGCTGGGCGAGTGCGTATATGTTTTGGTCTGAGGCGCGGCACCCCCCGTGCTGATGGAGCTGTACTGATCTGGAGCGACGTGAAGATGTGCGCTTTTCGGTTCGGAAGAAGTGGCGGTCTTGAAAGGCATCATGTCAGGTGATGTGCAGCTACTCCAAAGACCATGCGCAGGACTTCTGGCTCCTTCGTCTTCACTGCTGAGATTGCTCCACGGATCTGTGCTGGAGCAGCGTGAAGACATTGGCGAAGGGGATGAATGGCAAGCTTGCGACTCGTTGCTGCTACTGTGCCCTTCGCCACTGCTGTCCTGGCAGTGAAGACTTGCAAAGGCGGAGACAACTTCACCTTGTGCAGGTGTACCTTCAGAGTTGTGTGTGACGGCAGCGTCGGTCGAACCACCTTTTGTCGAACGGCTTGCTTCAGAGGGGTGAGCCTGGGAGCCATCTCCACGTTGAGTAGGTGAAGATGATCCACCGCTCCACAGTGTCTCGGTATCGCTGGATCTATTCGCCAGATTCGGGGAAGACTGATCGACCTCCATTGGCGAGTGCATCTCCTGAAAGCCGTAGAGAGAAGTCGAGCCTTCCGACGCCATCTCAAGATCCCCAGTCATCAGGCGTTGCGCTTGTTGTGGCGACTGTGCTTCTTTGACAAGGGGTGGTGTGGCAACCGGTGTGATGTCCTTGAGCTCTGGTGCTTGCTGGCGGCCGGACGGCATTTCGTGTTCCATGTCTGTATTGGCTGAGGCGGCCTCATCGAAGTAGCCTGTGCATCGAGCCCACCTTGGCACAATACGAGGACTGGCACGAGGTGTGACGTTGGGGGATTTTGAAGCAAGAGCAGCGGCCTCCATGGCAGCCGCCCCATTGTCACTCGACTCGACATCGCTTCCGATGCCATCGTCACTCATGGTGTCGGAGAGAGACTGCGATGTATGCTCATCCACCTGGTTCGTTTTCGGATGTTGCCCAAACCCGCCGAAGGACTTGAAGCCGTGTACGGGGAGACTGACCACAGAGGGATCGACTGGTGGCCGTGGAATGCCAGCGGTGAGAGTCCCCCCGACAGAACCGACGACAGATCCACTTTTGAGACAGGCCCAACCGGCGCCACTGTCCCTGCTTGAACCTCGGGCAGAGCCATCTTCAGAAGCGTCATCTTCAACCTCGGAGGCTTCCTCTTCCTCCTCGCCGCCTTCACCATTGTATCTCTTGCACTTCGTGGGCAGTCTCAAATCCAAGTCGGATCCTCCTTGTGTGATTTCGATCTGAGTACGGTCGTAGTCCTCAGGATGAAAGGTGACGAAAGCCTCGGGTGGGGCGGCGTCGAAGGTGACCTGTCGCTTGAAAGCTGGTGCAGATGGGAAGGACCTCGGAGCAGCAAAGGAAAAGACTGATGCTACCGCAGGCCGTCCAACCGACGTAGCCGCCAACGAGGGCTGTACGCTGGTGGAACTACAGCCGAGCTCACTGGCGCGCTTGAGACAAGGAGGTCTAGAGCATGTAGCCGATCGCGGCTGAGCTGCAAGAAGAGACATTTGATCGTCTGGATCGTCTTCACACTCTGAGCTTGTTCCCGGCTCCTCTAATGTGTACGACGAGACGGCAGGCGAAGCAGACCTGGGAGAGTGGGCGAGCGACATTATAGTATCTTGAGCTCGCTCCACTGGCGGTGTAGAAGCAATTTCCGAAGTGAAAGGGTCAAACGACCAGCGTTTGCGCTCAGGTACAAGGGGTTTGAGACGAGGCGTGGGAGACACCAACGAAAGGCACCCGCAAAGGCTGCAAACCGAAGATAGCCCTGGCTTGCGTTTGCGGAATTCCTAGGCACGGTGGACTCGGCTTACTCCTTGAAGCCGAAGTACGACGAATGAGTTCCTAGTCCTGCTTGAAGAGGTAGGATGGTGCTGGGACCTTGTATATGCGGGCGCCCTTTGCGCGGGCAGGTTAAAGGCACTGAATCAACATTGTGACGGTGAAAGGTTCGGCAGCGGAGGGGGAGAATGGGAAAGAGCCGATGGGGGAAATAGCAAATGTAGCGCGACGGCAAAGACGGTGACGTTGATGTCGGTTATCAACGACTGACGGGGGGGTGAGGCAGCTTGGACCTGATGACGGTGTGTGGTGCCTATTGAACCGTTTGGCGAAGAGGTAGATGTCGGGCCGAGACAGGGGCAAGAGGACAACACGTGATGAGTTCCACCAGCACAGTCCCGTTAGGAAGGCGAGGAGGAACGCAGCACAGGCTGTACTGAACAGAAGTCAGGGAGGGGATTGTGATGGGTAGCAAGTGATGGATGGAGAGCCCTCTGTAGAGGGGAGTGGGGGGGGGGGGGGGGGGG